AACTAGGAGAATATAGAGCATCTGGTATTTCAAGTTGTGTGTCATTTGATAGCAACACATAGGCATGGCCATATCCTTCGATAAGGTTTGAGGGGCCCGCGATGGTGCTAATATTTGCGGTTTGATAGGTTAGGTTTATGAAGTAACTTTTGTTTCTTAAGATAGTGTGGCTGGATCCACTATCTACGACTATGGTTTCCATTTGCTGGTGTGCTTCATTATGAATAGAAGATAGAATTCAGTATTGAGGAATTCAGAAAATGTGATAAATCATAAAGTAAAGCAGTGTCTGAGAATAAAGGCAAATGGAAAAAAAATGAAACAAATCCCAAAATGAAAAAAAATAAAGAACAAAATCAAATTGTATCAGAGTTTCAGATGATTGAATTAATCGAGGAGATCAGCTGTTTCATAGTCCATGGGGTCGGTCTGCTCGTTTGTGGTGTTCTCATCATCAAGGAGGTCGTCACCTTCCAGGTTAGCAGCATCGACTGGCTGAGTCATGTTGGCTTCAGCAGAAGCTTTTCCGTACTTCTGGTATAGATCGCAGTGGATCTTGGGGGTGCGATATTGCTTTGTTGGGTGGTTGAACATCCCACATCTGGTACAAGCAGAGTGATCGGGGTTGGTGTGGCGGGTCGGCTTGGTGATGCCTCGACCACGACCAGGACCATAACTGAGGTTAGGTCGGTTGCCACGACCATGTCCGCATCCACGTCTTCCACGTCCATGTCCTCGGCCATTACCACGTCCATTACCACGTCCACGGCGGTGATCTGAGGATCTATCGGGTTGAACATGGTAGGACTCTTGACGAGAAGCTGGGACAGGAGCCGATCCCGGGGGCCTCATAGCGCTGTTCCTCATAAACAGCTGGTTATTCTTCTCAGCGAGGAGAAGACAGGACAACAAGTCTTCGTACAATGTGTGTTTCATTGCACGGTATTGTTGTTGGAGCACAACATTCTCTGTGCTGAATGTGGATAATGTTTTCTCGAGGAGATCATTATCTGTCACATCCTCGCCACAGAGTTTCCGGATGGCAACAATACGAAAGAGTTCGTTGTTGTAATCATCTACGGATTTGTAGTCCTGGAACCGAAGGTTCTTCCAGTCGAAATCTGCCTGAGGCAACTGGACCATTTTCTGATGGTCATATCGTTTTTTCAGCGCTTGCCACAATTCAAGTGGATTCTCAAGAGTGAGATATTGCTGCTTAAGGCTCGGGGCCAGATGATGGCGTATGTGACATATCGCCTGAGACTGTCCCTTACGGGATGCGGTGTTACCGTCGGTAATACATGCATCGAGTTCTTTCGATGCAAGGAACAAGCGCATGTCTAGGGCCCACTCGAGGTAGTTATCCCCGGAGACGTGAAGGGCCTCGAATTCACATTTCTGAATGTTTGACATCTGAAACATGAGATTGATTTTGTTAGGGATTGTTTTGAGAAAATTTTGAATGCTGATGATGAAACTTTCTATTTTGAGAATATTTCTATTTTAGGAAAGTTTCTAAATTTGGAAAGTTTTTAATTTGGGTAATTTTCTAAATGAGGAAAGTTTCTATGTCGGGAAAATTTCTATATGAGGAAAGTTTTTATATGAGGAAACTTTCTATTAGAGGGAACTTTCTCGGAAATAGTAAATTTTAAAGGTTATGGTTTTAGTTACCCCGAACATGATGTCGGTTTAATAGCTGTGATTTAATCGGTTAAAGCCGAATATAATTTCGGTTAATGAGAACCAGGTTTAGCCGGTTTTAGGCGGTTTAGGAGGAACCCTAGGGGAGCCGAATATGATTAGGGTTTTATCTAGGGTTTTAACGGTTTGGAAAACATATTTTGTATGTGATTTCGAGATCTATAGGATCTGTGGTCGATGGTTTTAATAATTTCACAAGGACAACAAAGAAATCACGTGAAAAGGACTAGGGTTTAAGCATTATGACTTACGATTTTGAAGATTACAAAATCGTGAATCAAGCTTAGGATTTAGGGTTGATTTTCTTAGTTTATTCAATCAAGTGTTTCAAGCAAGAGAATCAACAATCAAATAAGCTGCAACAAGCTTATTAAACATGAAGAAAATCGAATAGGTTTATGCCATAAACATGGCCAAAAACGGTTGTTAGGTTTTTGTAGATTAGGGTTTTATAAAACGAGTTTAAAACCTTTGAACATGCATAAACTTGTAATTTAAACAATCAATCAATAAGTTATCAATCAATCATCAGAGTATCAAACACTTTCAATCAATTAGAGATCGATTTTTTTTTTTTTTTTTTTTTTTTTTATTATAGGGTTTTGAAGTGTTTAAACAACAGGTTCTATGGCTCTCAGTTTTAGAAGATACCTTTTCCACCTTTGGATTTCTGACAGGCTAATGAAACTGGGAGCTAATAGACCGATTGATCACCAAACTGGAGAAGCTGCTGGTTGAAGAAGGAAAAACTCGGATCTGGTTTTTTTTTTTTTTTTTTTTTCGGTTGATCGTCGTGTACTGTAAGTGTGCGTGGGGGCGCGTCCGACGTTGGATCGACAAACGGTTTTCACCAGTAGATTCGTCTCGTCGAGGGCTTCGATTTGATATGTAGATCGTCTTCTGGTTCCTCACGGTTTGGAAGATATGCGTCTTTTAAGTTTCGACTTGCTTTTAGGGTTTTGGTGGTGGCCGGATTTATTAGGGTTTTTCGCTCAGAGAGTCTTATCGTGCTGATAACGTGTTGTGAAAACTTAGAAACTTTATTAATCACTGGAATGTATATATAGAATACATAGAGAATCTAGGTTAAGTACAATGTCCTGATGGACCTAATGAGCCGGTATAAGAGTCCATATATGATATGTGTTACAACATGATTGTGATTTTGCCAAACTAATAATTAAAGATATGATTTCATTTACCGTATATCTATTCTATTAAAACAGAAACACATTTAGTGGTTGTATCCAAACACTCCCAAAGTTTTTTTTATAATATTTTATTTTATTTTTATATTTAATTTCTGAAAATTAGTTATTAATTTAGATATTTTTAGATTTCCTAAAATCTAGGTCATCTTTAATTTAAATTTCAAATTATTAGAAATTTAATTAAATTTAGTTACAAAAATTTGAATTCAATTTAATTTAAATTCAAAACATTCAAAAAAATTATAATTAAATTTTATTACGAAAATTTAGATAATAATTTTAATACTTTAAAATTTCTTAAATACAGGAAAGATTTAATTTAAAATTTTAAATTTAAATAATATTTTTTATAAAAATGCATAGTAAATAAATATTTTATCGTATTTTATCATAAACTATCGGTCTAAAATATCAAATATTTGAGATTAATAAATATTTATATTATACAATAATATGATCGAGCTGATTAGAGTTATATATATATACAGTAAAACCTCTATAAATTAATACTCGATAAATTAATATTCACTATAAATTAATAAATTTTGCTGGTCCCAAGTCGGGCCAATGTAAAAATCCATCAAATTCGATAAGATAATAAGATAATAATTTTTTTTGAAACCCTTATATAAACTTATGGTCCCAACAAAAACATAAATTAATAATGATATAAATTTATGCAATTATATATTGATACAATATTCTAAAATATGACTAATGTGTTTATTTTTACTTAAATTTGAAATCTCATTGGTTCTTATCTCTCTAATTATTATATCAGTAGCTTTTATTGCTCTTTTACTATATATATTCAATATTTATGATGATTTTTTGACGTGATAATTGATTTTCTTACCTTTAAATGTTTTTAAATGTATTGTAGTGTATCTTCAATTTTATCATCAGTAATATTGATAGCAGCCATGATTTTTTTATAAATTTTAAACTTATGAACATGTATATTTTTACATGGACAATCCAATATGGTGTTAAAAACTATTTTATTGTGATAGTTATGATTCTTAATCATAATTTATATAATGAGATTTGTTAAAATTTCAAAATATAACATTAATACAAAGAAAGTTTTAGAAAATTATATGCGAAAAGTAAATTTTCTCTATAAATTAATAATTATTAATTTATAGTTAAATTAATATCACGATAAATTAATAAATTATCATGATCCCAACATTATTAATTTATAGAGGTTTTACTGTATATATATATTTAAGGTCCATGAGTTAATTTATTAAAAGATATAAGATATTAAGATGATTTGAGACAGTTAAACTAACAGGTTAGCCCGTTTATATATATAATATTTTTTTTTTAATAGCATAAATAGTAAATAAATATCTTATTATATATTTTCATAATCAATTGGTCCAAATATTCCATATTAATAAATATTTATAGGGTTATACAATTATAATTATAGTCTTATACGTGTTAGTTTGTCAAAATATGTAAGATATTAAAAATAATTTAAGACAACTAAACGGATGGATTAGCAAATTCATAGATATATAGAGTGTTTATGTGTAAATCTAAATTCACATAATAACAAAGTTTATAATTAACATTAGATCAATGTATACTTAATTAACGTATACTCTTATTCTACTAATATATAAATTTTACTGTTTAAAATTAAAATATGATTACAATTTTTTGATTTTAAAAAAATAAATAACAAAAATAAATTATATCTAAACAAAAAGATAAATGCAACTTATATTAGAAAAAAAAAATATTCACGTGCGGATGCACGGGGTTAAAATCTAGTTTTAGTTAAATTTGAGATAGTTGTTATGTTCGGATTCAAATCTGAAGAGAAGTACGGATATAAAACACCAAAATGTATTATTTAACGAATATAAATTAAATATGATGGAGCCCATTATACCAAAAATAGGTGTGAGAGACAACAAAATCATAAAGATATACTTCAACAAAAAAAAATTTACTCAAGAACCAAAATTGAATTATCTCTGTTCAACCAACAACTGAACGCCAAGCTGTCCCAAAAAAAAACCCTCTCTCAATATATATATAACAACTCTTATCACAAACCATATGATATATTCACATTATCTCGAAAGGACATTTCTAACTAAGAGAAAAGTCTTGCATTCTCTCTATCTATAAAAATGTTGATTGTTATGATTGTGACTCTTTTTGCGACTGTGGCGTTGCATCAGTTGCCTTCGGTTGTGGCTCTGGACGTCCACCTCCTTCCTCAGCTAGCCGCAAAGCACAATGTCACAACAGTTATTGTGTTTGGAGATTCTAGTGTTGATCCAGGAAACAACAATTTCCTCAATACTGATTTGAAAGGAAATTTCCCACCTTATGGTGGAAATTTCGTGAACCATAAATCTACCGGAAGATTATGTGACGGATTACTTGCACCCGATTTTATCGGTAAGCTTTACATTATAGTATTCATATTAGTATTAATACTTATGTATCTTAACTGAATGTTTTACTTTAAATTTATGAAATTATGTTCACGTAAAACTTATATATATTTTTCATTGAATTTTTTTTTGTTTTTCTCAGCGGAAGCCATGGGTCACCCGCCCATACCGGCTTTTCTTGATCCAACCCTAACCCAAGCCGATCTACCTCGTGGTGCAAGTTTTGCCTCAGCTGGTTCTGGCTATGACGATCTCACAGCTAATATATCCGTAAGCCTAAACATGTTTCCCTTTTCTACTTCTAGTAAAAAACATAATTAAAGTTGAAAACTCTCTTTCCATATTAAATCGAACTGAAATTGATTTTTTTTCTCGGGATGAAACAGAACGTGTGGAGTTTCTCGACGCAAGCCAGATACTTTTTGCATTACAAGATTCACCTCAGTAAATTGGTCGGTCCATTAGAGAGCTCGAAAATGATAAATAATGCGATATTTCTTCTAAGTATGGGATCAAATGACTTCCTTCAAAATTACTTAGTCGATTTTACTCGACAAAAGCAATTCACAGTTGAACAATACATCGACTTTCTCTCCTCCCGTATGATTTACGACATCAAGGTATGTATTCGTCTCCACAAACCTCGTATACGATAGCTCTATATATATGCTTAGATAATAATCATATAAGGTATACTTTATTCATTGGGTTCGTGTAGCAAGAATTAAAAAAAAAAATATTTCTTTTTGTGAAGAAAACCAATTACGTTTTCACTACGGCTTGAACTAATCGACTATTAAAAAAAAAGAAGAACGTGTCTCTGTGTGTGAAATAATTATTTGCTGCTGAAATAAATGCGTATGTGTTTATATTGAAATTAAAAACTTTGACATATACCTTGTGTATGTATGAGGGTCCTGATAATTAAATACGAGCCAAAAAAAGTCATAAATTACAGCAACAACAAAAAGAGAAAATAGGGAAAGAAAAGAGACCAAGTACAAAGAAAATAATACGAATCGTATCTGGTTGTTGACAGAATTAATTTCAAAGAAAATGACGTGAATTTTTGATTTTTCATGTCCGGTGTCTGACACATGTCGACGGACAAACCATATCCACACGTATATAATTCGTTTTTGTTTTTGTTTTTGTCTTTTTTTTTTGTTTTTGTAAAATTGATTTTAGCAGTTGTCAGCAAGAAAATATATTGATTTTAGCATTTACTTTCTTGAACTACTAAGCTCAGTAACTTTTAATTCCCATTTATTGGGAAACATAAATATATAGCCACTTGAAATGTCCAATTGAATTTTTTGTCAGAGTGACCAGTAGATTGTTTCACTGAAAAAAAAAGTTTATGAAACAAAAAAATTTAACTTAGATTTAGTTCAGTTTCTATATTTTGCCAAAGAAAAAATATATTTAAATTTTCAAAATTGTATTATTTTAATTCATATTGATGATTTTTTTTTAAAATCTACTTGGTTTGATTTGGATAAACCAAACCGGAATAGATAACTCTAATAAAAACATGTACATATTAAACTAAAGGATATGAATTGCACTTTAACTCTTATATAAAGAAGATTCGAATCATCTTTTTGGTTTTCTTCTTGTTATTTTATAGATGTTGCATAGACTTGGAGCTAGAAGACTGGTGGTCGTAGGAGTTCCTCCCATGGGCTGCATGCCCCTAATAAAATACCTAAGAGGCCAAAAGACTTGCGTTAATCAATTAAACCAAATCGCTTTTTCCTTCAACTCCAGAATCGTCAAGAATCTCGAGCTTCTGCAATCTGAAATTGGTTTAAAAACTATCTACGTCGATGCCTATTCTACCATCCAAGAAGCTATTAAAACCCCAAGAAAATTTGGTAAGAACATGGATCTAATTACTTTTTTTTTTTTGGTTTTTGGCCAATGGATCTAATTACTTAAAACATAAACTTAGTACTTTAAGGGGATCAATATGGATCTAATTTATGTTCCTTTTGGTTTTAAATTGTAGGATTCATCGAGGCTTCGAAAGGATGTTGTGGAACAGGTACTTACGAATATGGAGAGACATGCAAAGATATGGAAGTATGCAAAGATCCTACCAAATACGTATTTTGGGATGCGGTCCATCCAACACAAAGAATGTATCAAATCATTGTCAAGAAGGCCATTGCATCTATTAGTGAAGATTTTCTCGTTTAGGATATGTTATATGTTCGTATACTATCATGATATATGTCTGAAAAACGTGAGGATGTAATTGAAAAAATCGAAAGATGTTATATCTAATATTTCAAAACGAAGAATACATTATAATTGAGCAAAATTTGAGAAATATCTCGCTTTTAAACATTAACTGTTGTTTTATAGTTTTATATAAGTATCTTTGAACTAATAAACCTTTATAAAATTTTAACTATATAACAGCAAAACCTTTTGCTAAAGAAGAGTATCTAACAATCTGTTTATCGATATGGTATAGTTTTGTTTTAGTTACTTTTGATTTGGTTCTTTCAAATAAGTGTCTGTGACTAATAGAAACAAAAGAAACATCATATGTAGGATAATATTAATTCTATTAGAAATATTAAACAAAGACCATCATTACATTTGAAGACGTTCAATAATTTTTGTTTTATAAAAAACATCACAACATTTCATCACCAATCATGGACGAAGAAAATCTATCAATATATCAGATTTAACTTATCGATTAGCTAACAGTGATAATCGGATATATTACTTAAATTAAATAAGATCTCAGAAATAACTGAGGATGGAATCAATAGTTGGTCGGAGAGTTTCAAAGAGAATAAAGTAAGCCTTCTCACTTGGATGGATAGAATCAAAAAACACATAAGCAGATGTATTAGGACACACGTATGACTTCGGATTGCACAAGACCGAAGCCTCTAAGTATCCACTTCCACAACATCCACTGCTTACTTCTTCAAACCCTATAACATACATGTATATATAAATTTTAGTAAAAAGTTAGGACTCACTGTGAGACTATTCAAAAAACCAGAATGTAAGTCCAAAAACATAAAACTCTTAACCCTTAAGTAGTTAAAAAAAACTCTTAACCCTAAAACGTAAACAATATAGTCTATTTTTCTAATTTTTTTTTAAAAAGCATATTTTCTACTATAGAATTTTCTTATAATTATCCCAATATTGTATCCAAATAATTTTTGTATTTACCGTATTTTTGATGGTCATGAATGATCTCATAGAATGGATTATACGCGTCGAGGTAAAAGATTTTGGACCCAATATGGGCCAAATTCATTTGCATGAGGTCCAATTCTTTTTGTAAGTAGAAGTTGTAGTTTACGGCCACAGTGGAGAAACGGTCAATGCAACGACGGTTGGTCAATGTTTCGCTGGAGAATAAAGTTATAACAATTGGTAAACACCCAATTGGTGGCAAACCTGCCACCGTTATTTTCCTCGCTCCTTCATTCCATAAACCCTGACCATTTATATAACCATATTAATTGAAAAAATAAAATAAAAAAGTATATTAAAACAACTAAACCGGGTTGATGTTAAAACAACAAAATAAATACGGAGCCGATCAAATCCAAATTGAATCACTGAAACCAGCCTATTTTGAATATGAGCTAGAGGAGACAAATCGATTTCAAGAATCTGACTCAAGAAGATCGAAGTTGGAGCCAACTTTTTTACAAATTTAATATTCCATAGTCAGATTCAATCTACTCATTCAACTATAAATATATGTATGTGGTTAAGTAAATTCGAGCAAAATTAAGAAAAAAAAAAAGAAAACACATATAAGAAAGAACAACTTTTAAGGTAACGAATTTTTTGTCTTATCTTCTAAATCCGAGTGTTATCATGTAAGACATTTTTAAGTTTATAATATCTAAAATAGACACTTTTAAATTTTAATTATCACACTTTTTTACTATTTGTGCACTAAAAATGATTTAAAAACTTATTTCATTAACACACTATTACTTATCTATATTCTTTTTTATTTAATATTATATTAATATTTATCTATTATTAATTATCACACTTTTTTACTATTTGTGCACTAATTATATAATTTTTTCATAATACTTTGATACCCATTTGTAATCTTTAACTTAAATTCTTTTGCCGTTTAGTGATAAACACATACGTATCCATATAGTAGCGTCCACGTGGACACAAATATATGGATATCTATACAATTATAAAAATATATATATGTATCTACATACGTATCCATATAGTAGCGTATACGTGAACAAAAATATATAGATATATATATATATGTATATCTATGTACATAAAGTATAGATGGATATAACTATATAAATATACATGTATATTTATATGCATATTCACGTGCATATATTATAGATGAATATAACTATATAAATACATATATATACATATTTACATGTGTATCTATATAATTGCATATATATAGGTGAGTTTTGTGTGATTTAGTGTGTGGAAGTTGATAAATTAAGATGGATCTCATGCGATTTAGTGTGTGGAAGCTGACAAATGAATTTAAATGAGTCTCGTACGTTTTAATATTTTTCTGTAGGTAAATAGAAAGTAAAAGAAAAAAAAAGATAAAAAGTAAAAAAACATAAGCAAAATAAGATAAGTGTCTCACCTCCAAAAAGTGTTATTTTGACAATTACACTTTGAAAAAGTGTCCCAAATGGTAATATTCTTCCTAAACCCCGCCAAAACCAAATGAGTGTCATAAATTTCAGGTTTAGGAAAAAATCATAACAGAAAAATTAGGAATGGATACTAATTGTTTAAGAACCCTACAAAATCTTAATGAATCTCTCATAAAATGTATGTAGTATTTTAGAATTTTATCAAGATTGTGTTATTCTTGGAACTAAAACTGGATTTTTTTTTTGTGGTATTAGAGAATATATCTATTATATATAATGTATAATTTGTTTTATAAATTTAAGGTACTATACAAAAAAAAATCCTAAAAAAAAAACTGAGAAAATAATGAAATAAATGTGGTGGATTTTTTTTTTAAGATCAATGGTATATTACATTTTATTATAAATCTGACTTTGCAACAAATATCAAACCCACCAAACAAAATTAGGCTCAATTTTTTTGGTTTAACCAAAAATCTACAAAATCATTATTGAAACTGAACTCAAATCGACATTGAACGTCAATTTGATTAAAAATCTAAGAAGATATAGTTATGTATATATATATATATGTATATTTGTAATCGATCAATAACATTTTATTAAAAATAAGAAAATACTAGTTTACCTGGATAAATTGTTTGAGATTAGAAATAACGAACTGCTGGTAAGCTTCGATAGAGAAGGTCTCTCGTCGTGTGGGAATTGTGAAATAATTTATGACGAAATCGTTGGTTCCTGCACTTACACAGAACACAGCCTCTTCTATGTGTTTTTCCATTTTTTGTTTTCCTATTTTATCCTCCAATTGTCTCTTGTACTGTCTGAAATACTCTAGCTGAGTCGGAATGTCTATTACGTTCTACCTTCCCACCAATGAAAGCAACACAACATACAATACAATTAATAAAATTCACTCAAAAACTTGACAGATAAACATATATATATATATATATTTGTGAAAATAAAAAAATCCAACAACATTATTTTTAAACAGATGGAGTAAAAATACTTAGAAAAGTAACAAAAATATATATATATATATATTATTATGACCATAATGTTAATTTGAAACAGATTGAGTAATATTGACCACAACATATATAATTGTTCTTTTGATAACAGCACAACAATATAATTTATGAGTTGTAATTTGATTACCCAAGTTATTACCCTAATGGTTAGTGAGTCAAAATAACAACTCAAGCTGGCCTTAGCTATAGATATAATAGTATTCCTATGTGAAGATGAAAAGACTAAAAGGTAACCAAAAAAAAAGCAAAAGGGCCAAATGCCAAATTAAAACTCGCTTCATTTTGTCGTCAACTCGGCGATAATTTTGGATAATCCCTTTGCAATAAAAAGACATGCGCACCTTACATAAAGTTATAAAAACTCATTATCTTTTTGTCGTCAAGTAATGATTGATTTGAGATAGTGTTTTTTATTTTATTAATTTTTTCAACTTTAATTACTGTAATAAGCGATCTTCTTCTTCTTCTTTTTTTGTAAGTTTTTAATATTTTTCTCGAATCAAAAAGAGAGAGATGAGAAGAAGACTGGTTTACTAACACCAATGGTTGGAGTGAGAGGATCAAATCCAGAACCAGCTGAAGCAAAGCTAACTCCACTCATTAACTCAGTTATTCCAAGATTTGGGTCCAAATATGCTGGCACATTCTCCTTCACTCCAATGTATGAACCTATACTTATGATGATAGAGATTCACTAATAAAATTTAGAATTTTTTTTAATAAAATCATTTATAAAAATGTACTAACCGATGAAATCTGTCACAAGTCGACCGTTGCAAAATCTACCGGTGGGAATGCTGTTTTTGAAATCAAGTCCATAAGGGGGAAAATTACATTTGAATATTGTGTCGACATAGTTATTATTGCCTGGATCCACTGTTGAATCTCCAAAAACTAGAATAGCTGAGACTGGTTGTTTTCTTTGATGGTATGATCCGATTGGTTTAGGTTTCACAAGTTCCGGTTTTGGTGTAGAGAAAGAGAAGGGTATGAAGAATAGGAAGATGAAGAAGATGAAGGAAAAAGAAAAAGAATGACCTCTCATGTTGTGAACGATTGGAGTGGAGACAAATGAGAAGCTTGGTTGATACCTTCTAATGTAATCACATAATATAATATAATATCCAATCATATTTATTAGAGGTGTCTATTTTTGGTTTAAACAACCAACCCAAATCAAAGTTCTATATAAAAAAAATCTCAAAATTTGTTCAATAAAGAAAATTATATTGATAAATTTGTCGATTAACCAAGTTCGACCGCAACTCGGTACATTTATTAATTTATTGATTTTTATAGATATAAAAGAAAACATAACTTCCATCATGTTAAATACTCCATTTTATGCTTTCTAACAATCATGAAATATACTAAAATTTAAGATCCTTTAAATCATGAACTAATTCTGAACCGAAGCTCTGCCAAACCAAACCAAACACAAAATGCGTTTTTAAGATTTCTGTATTTCAAAAGGAAAGGAGGTAAAACAAAATCAGTAACCGATCGGAAATAAAGTAAAGTTCGAAGAATACATCTTCCAAGTTATTTTCTTTTATTCGACCGAGAAATTCCACAAACGGAAGTTTTATTTGCTGATAATAGTTAGCAACTATCTATTTTTGATGAATAATCACGTGGACCGACAAGTTAATGCAACAACTTGCATCTGGATTATTTAGGTGAAGCTTTAAATATTGGAGTGCTATAAATTGTACGTATTCATTAACTTATGCTATATACTGAACTTGCTTTAAAATAGTTTATTTTTTAGTAATAGCATTGCTACTAATAGTAATAGTATGATGAGTACCCAAACATCGATCAAGCCAGTCGATTTCTTAAGTAAATAAGACAAACAAGCTTATTGGTATAAGTACATCACATTAATGAGATAGCTCATAATTAGTTACGGAGCTGATTATTAAATATCTCCATTATTTGGTGACACAAATAAAAGTCATTACTCCTTATTTGTTTAATTCTTCAGATAGTTAACTCCTAACTAAATATGCACTTGTTTGTTCAATTAATTATTACTCTCGCATTTTCTAATGTTAGATGTTTTTTTTAAAGTTAAATGTTTTCAATTTTGTTTGTAGTTATAAGTTATAACTCTCTTTTTCTTAATTTGCTCTATCATATTTGTATAAAATTGAAGAAAGATTTAGAAAAAAACAAGGTTAGAAATGGTCATTACAAAAAAAAATTTGTAATGCAAAATATTTTGATTTTTATATGATGACTACAGTTTGTAAGGCAAAATATATTGATTTTTGTTACTTCTTATGACCCTTTTCGTTTCCCCCGAAGATTGTCTTAATATTTTTCGTGTTGCAAATCATATCTTATAACATGTAGCTCACCAAACAAGGACCAGAAGGCGTACTTCTCTGAGTCGTAGCACAAGGTCCCTCTACACTGGACGAGTCTTTCACCCTATGCTCACCGGTTATTCCAAGCAAGCGGAATGCCTTTCGTAGAACAAATTTAATGTTCTAGAGAATCCGTAATTCCACTCAAACATATATTATATGCATTGTATTGATTTAAATATAGATATTATATGCATGGCTCATGAATGGTCCATAGATGGGGTTACATACCTCCAGGAAAGATCTTACACGCAAGATGGGTTAGACTAATTTTCATGAGGCTCATTTCCTTTTCTTAAAAAGAATTTAAAGTTTATGGACACGGTAGAAATACCGTCAATGCAACGACGGTTGGTTAATGCTTAGCCGGAGAATAATGTTAGAATATAGGACGATGTAATGCATATTACTGTATGAAAAAGTCTCCATTTCATTTCAGATAATCACTTGACAGAGTTATAAGAAAATTGACAAAGTTAGAGAATAATAACGACAAATCCACTTGACTAGCCAGCGTTTACAACCTCCGTTAACAAAGTTTTTTTTAAAGAAAATTTTTCTCCATGTTTTCAATGTAAAACCATAATCTGTCTGACATATTGTTCAAAATTTTGTTTACTTGATAGAGACAGAAATCGTTTACTCTATAACTCTACTGGTAGAAGAAAAAAAAAACATGTCCTCTACGTAGTATACCTCGAATGGTTTGAAGTGATTTAAGTAAGACACTAAAGTTGGTAATACAACCAAAGTAGTCTAACCACTCTAATCGTCGGAAAAACTCCAAGAAGGAGCAAAACTCGTCCGATGAAAATAGTTTTTTTTAGAAACTCATAGGAAATTTTCATCCAAGTTATTTTACGATATTTTCTTATAAACATCATTCGAAAGTGGGTAAGAAATTACTAACAGAGTATGTTTCTAGGTAATTCATTGAAAAATCCGTTGAATACATAAAAAATTATAGTTACCAAATAATGATTCCAAGGGTTTTTCCAACACATTTGTGGTGGAATATCATCGGAAACTGACCATTTCTGACCAGATTCTGACGTCTCCCATGAATATTGTCCGAAAACTTTTGGAATTCTATACTTACTATGGAGTTGGAAGATGTATGATTTATATATATAAACGTTTCGAGGCTCATGTTCTTACAGATTTCTGTCCATAGGAAAGTCGCCAAAGTAACATGTTTGCGATGACTCGCCAACGATTACGGCCGTCGGAATGGCATTTAATTCTTGTAGTGCTAGCTACTTCTATAAAGTAAAAACAAAACACGAAAATATGACAAAAATGTATCAGAGAAGGTTTTTTTTTTGGTTAAAAGGCCTTCATTAACTAAAAAGTAGCTTACAAGGAAACAAACTGAACCATTACAACCATTAAAGATAAAACGAACCAGAGAAAGGGAGGGGAGAGTACATTTGCACAGCACAAATTAAATGACTAAACCTGAAGAGGAAGGAGGCAGGTGAAGTAAGATGGGGCAGATGCCCCCAATAAAAAAAATTTAATTAGTGTAAATTGTTAAGAAAATGATTATTGCCCCCACACCACAAAATATATTTGCCCCCATCATTTGATAATGTTTTAGCATAATTGTTTTTGCCCCGATAAAAATACTTCTAGCTTCGCCACTGAACGAGAGAGATTGGATTCGACCAGAGTCAACTGGGTTCAGCTTGGAAACCAAATCCGAACAAGTTCAGGGCCCATCGTGTGGTCTAGATTCTTTAGCGCCATTGCTTTGTCTTTAAGGATCTGCAAAATCTTCCTGCTAATAACCCCAGGCGGAAGTGTTGTACCTAGATGCATGAACCTTATTGTTTCATCATTCATATATCAAAAAGGGTCATCTGGATCATCATAAATTTGCATGAAAGTTACATAAGAAATATCTGTCGAGAAAAAAATGATTTAACAAAAATTAATGTCTATGAGGACATAGATAAATAATATATTTGGATATATGCCAATAATTATAATTTTCATGAAATATACAGTAGAAACTTTATAAATTAATATTTGATAATTTAATAAACACTATAAATTAATAATTTTTCATGGTCCCAAATTGAATTAGTTTAAAATATGATATAATTCGATAAGATAATAAGATAACAATTTTAACAAAACTCTTATATAAATATATGGTCCCATTAATATCATAAATTAATAATTACCATAAAAATTTCTGGTATAAATATATAAGTGATATAATCTACTAAAATATGAGTTGAATAATTTTTATTTATTTTAAATTGAAGTTTTTTTGGAACTTATCTTTAATTTTAGAAATAATTTTTAATTCTAATATTTAAAAAAATCTTTCAAAATTAATGAAAAATAAAAATAATTTTTATTTAAAATTTATAAATTAAGAACTCTATAAATTAATAAATTATCAAATTTTAACATTATTAATTTTTTTTTTTGATAAAAACCTAACATTATTAATTTATAGAGTTTTTACTATATCTGCGAGGTAAGGGAGAAAAAAAAGAACGTAAAATTATTAGCACTCAAGATCTTGTTAAAATGTAATTATTAGCACACGAGATCTTGTTAAAATATAAAGTTATTAGCTCACGATTTCAAACAAAATAAAAATCGAAATATATTAGTCGATCCTATCAATGTCCAAGGTTGTTAGTATGTGAGCAAGTAAGACAATAGATACAAAATATTTTAATAATACAAAATAAAGGAAGTACGATGAGAGTTCCTTCTCCAACACTTCATAAATCCACTCACAACCACAAGATCACTTTCGCCGACCACAAGATCTTGCACTTGAAGTAAAAGAAATACTCAATTCCTCATCATTTTAATTCATTAAATTAAATAAACATTAACCAATAAATACGACTATAAGAGAGGCAAAAGGTGAATAGTTTTACTTTTCGGTTTGATACGGTTTGATTCGATTAAAAAACATTGTGATTCAGTTTTGCTCGATTTGGCTCAAAATATTTCCACCGTTTCAATGAGTTTGTTCGGTTTGCTTGTTTATTCCATCTGAGGATACATAATACCATAGTTATCTATAAAGTTCATTGATTCGGTATTTGTTCGGTTAATGATTAACCGTTACTCTGGTACTTATTGTTGCAAATGGCTTCCCCTACCACTAAGCAAATAATAATTAACAATAATAGGTGTCATCAGAATCATCCTCTTCACCAATAAACAATTATCATCATCACAAAAGTCTCTTAAGAACCCTCCACCAATTTTATTCTCTTCTGAACATATAACCCAAACACATATACACAAATTGTTCATAAACAGAAAAAGGAACTGAAGATAGAAGAAAAGCAAATTATGAGCACAGCAAGATTCATCAAGTGTGTGACTGTCGGAGATGGAGCAGTGGGGAAGACTTGTATGCTCATTTCATATACCAGCAACACTTTTCCTACGGTAATATATTTAACATATCTTTCTGTTTTTTGAAATGTTTCAAATTGATGTTTTAAGCCTTCTATGTTAGTTACTTGGAGATTTTGTTGGCTTCTATATAATTTCAAGTTGTTTAGGTTTTAGGATTCGTTTCGACAAGGCCTGGTGTAGTATTGATACATATTGATGGAAATTACTCTCATACTAATTTAGGGGGTTTTTTTCACGTTTCATATCGGAAAAAAATATAGATATATAGCTTCAAGTTTTATAGTATAGTAATATTTTAAAATTGTTACGTGAACTTGAAACGAAAATATCTCATTTAATACTTATGGACCTAAATCCGAAACCAAAGCTAAACTACTGTACATTTCTATCTTTGCTCACTTGAGACATTATCCACCTTTTTTGTTTTCTATACGTTTGGAATATAAATGATATAAAATGCAATTACAGGATTATGTTCCGACAGTTTTCGACAATTTCAGTGCAAATGTGGTGGTCGATGGAAGTACTGTCAACCTCGGCCTCTGGGATACTGCCGGTAATTTTTTTTTTACTAAAACAATAAACAGATAAATGGATCAATATAACTATTAGTTTTAATAATTAGAATTAATGTGGAATTATCAGGGCAGGAAGACTATAACAGGCTAAGGCCTTTGAGTTACAGAGGGGCAGATGTGTTTTTATTGGCATTTTCCCTAATTAGCAAGGCCAGTTACGAGAATATTTACAAAAAGGTAACTTTTTTCAACTTACATCTGTTTTCAAAATGGTGAAACATTTTTTGAAAGACTTGTTGTCTAAATTTGTTAAAAAATATTTAGAAAAAAATAAAATATTTTTGTTGAGAAAATTAAATTAATTTCTTGATTTATAGTGGCTTCCGGAGCTGAAACATTTTGCACTTAGTATTCCCATTGTACTCGTCGGAACCAAATTAGGTAAGAATTTTTTTTTCTTATTGGATATGTAAAATAGAATTCTGTTAATGAAAACATTTGATATTTTGCAATATCATAATATTTATTTTTTGATTTGTGAAATTGTGATTTATTTTTATATCTATTTATTTTTATACATTTTAGTGAAATGTACGTTTAAAAATTTAATCATTTGATAATTTTGCACTTAATTAAAGTTATCTAACTTACTTGTTCGGTTTTTCGTATATATATTTTTCTGCATATTCTTTATTTTCTGACATTTTCTTGTTTCTATAGTAGAGAACAATATTAAAACAATTGAATCCGATGATATTGTAGCAAAATGGCTAAAAATGTAGCAAAATATAGTCCGGTTGGATCGTTAATGGGCTTACAAGCAGTAGCCAAGTTTAGCTTACATTTTCCTTTTATCAATTAATTATTAATCAATAAACTATATTTTCATTAGTGAAATAATGTTACCCGAAAAAAAAAAATTACAGATTTGAGGGATGACAAGGAATTCTTAAAAGATCATCCAGGAGCAGCTTCTATAACAACTGTGCAGGTACCGTTATAAAGAAAAATATGTTTAATATTTAAAATGCATACATATATCGATTTCTATATGTTAAACACAAAAAATCATAACTGTGAGTGAAATATTATGGATGAATTTGAGTAACAGGGAGAAGAACTAAGGAAGATGATTGGAGCCGTTAGGTACTTAGAATGCAGCTCCAAAACCCAACAGGTATTTAATTGTTTATAAGGAAATTATATAATCCACATTGAGTTGTAATAAAATATAATAAATTGAGTAAGCTGAAATAAGTTTGTTTTTTCTTTCTCAATATTTAACAGAATGTGAAGGCAGTGTTTGATACCGCGATCAGGGTCGCTTTGAGGCCACCAAAGGCAAAGAAGAAGATAAAGCCATTAAAGACCAGGAGATCAAGAACATGCCTTCTTCTCTAATATTTCAACATTTGAATAAAAAAACATTTACATATACATGTGTTTTTTTTTTATATATATATTTGTAATGGCAAAAGAGGATCTCTTAGTCTTGACCGAAGCGGAGAGACTAATGATTTTTGTTGTTGATGATATTTTAGTAATAATAAAGAGTTAATCGCCAATTGATCCGTAAGAACGACAATCCATCGTTTAACCTTTTTAGTTGTAAGTATAAGAGTTAATAAGAGACTAAGATGATATGATTGATTAAAACTTTATAAATAGTTAAAACAAAAAAAACCTTTATAAATAAAATAAAATGTGTCAATTTTTATGATCATGAAAGAAGAAGACTTGGGGAAAAAGATAGGAAGCTAGCGTGTAGGAATGGTAAATTTGACAAAATTAGAAAGCCAAAGTCATAAGTAAATAAATATATTTGTCTCCCTATGTATAATGCCCAGTAGCCTACTCTAGTACACCATTTACACTCATGTCTATATAATTCTTAACTTTATAATGGTCTTTTTTTCGTTAAAGCAACTTTATAATGGTCTTATTTTTCTTTTCTTTTTTTTCAGATGTGTTAATCTTGTCATTTTCTGTTTTCAGATGGACACGGTTTTTATGAAAAAAAAATTTATCCGATTAATGTTTCCAAAGCGACCAAATCTATCCCGGAGACAGATGGAGTGACTTTGCGCGTATGCCTTAAAAGAATACGATAATATTTGTTTTTTACAGTAGAGCTCAAAACGAAAGATAAACATTACATTAAAAATAAAAATACTCGAAGTTTTGAACCTAAGAGAAGGAGATGCCATTCAGCTTGGAAGTGAAGGGAATGGTATACGAGGACAGAGTTGGAGAAGGAAGCTAGGGAGCTAGCTAGTTTTTAATTCTAGACGTATTAGCCCAAAAGTTGATATGATTACTAATGTAATTCAAGTGCATGTAACCTCTTCACATAATGAGTATAGTTTTGTGCAAGTTCAAATAAAATACATCAAATAAAAAATGGACTACCACTAATTCAAGGTTTGCAGTAGGGAAACTTCTATAATTGGCGTGCGCCTAAAAATCAAGAGTTAAAGTGTCACGGTTAACAAAATAGATTCAATTAACAAGCTTGATCCACTCTCCGAAGATATTAAACCTAAAAGCCAAAAAAACAAAAGGAACTCTTGTATAAAAGCCCATCAGATGATATTGGTGGAGCTCTTGTATATAAAAAAAAGAATAGCAATGAGGAACCAATAGAGGAAATTTAATCAGTTGAATATGTTTACTAGGACAGTAAAAACGGAAAAAAAAAACTGAAATTATACGATATTTTCTATTGATAAATTTTATTCGTTGATGTATAATCAAATCCGTTATTTATATTTTTTTTTTGAGTATTTTTTGTTGCAATGTTAGATTTATTGTATCGAAATTATTTACAAAGGTTTAAAGAGAAAATTAAAAACAATGTAAAGCTGGAAGCTCCCTGATACATTTTGAATGGAAGATATGCAAACAAAAAAAACAGAGGAGATAGAAAACCAAATGAACTTCAAGGCCTTTCTTCTCTGCATAATGTCTCGTAGTATGTGTTCATTTCTTTTCTTTCATAAGTGATGAACAGTGACGGTGGAAAAAAAAAGGTGGAGACGAATGAATTAGTGGTAATCGTCATTAATTACAAGAGATAAGATGTCGCAAAACGTGCCTTGGACCCGTCGTTGTCTGATCATGCGGTTTGCCTGTTTCGTATTCCCTCCCATCAGCAGCGTTCTTGTAAACCTTTCAGGTTCTTTCATCATGTTATTGACCACCCATCTTTTGCTAATATTGTCAAGGATGCCTGGGACTGTGACAATGTTACTGGTTCGTCGCAGTTCAAGCTTGTGCGAGTTATGAAGTGCTTAAAGAGGAATCTGAAGAGTTTGAACAAAAAGCACTATAGTGGTATCTCGAATAGAGTCAAAGAGCAGGAATCTATCTTATCCGACCTCCAGCGATCTCTTCTTATGGCTCCTGACCCTCTGGTTGCCGCTCAGGAGAAGGAGGCGAGGGAAATATGGAATAAATTGAAAACGGCTGAGGAGAAGTTTTACAGGCAAAAATCAAGAGTACAATAGCTGCACTCGGGGGACAGAAACACATCCTTCTTTCACCGTATGGTGGCTGAGAGGGTCACTAGAAACCACATCCATTTCCTAAAAGACATTGATGACCGTGTGATTGGATCGATCGCTGAGATCAAAACCTACTCTGCAGAATACTTCAAAGGGATTATCGAGCAAACAGATCTGCCTATCTCCCCTTGCTCAGTTAGTCAACTCCAAGCTCTTTTACCTTTCAGATGTTCCGATGAGCAGAAAGAGTCCCTTCAAAAGGCTGTTGCTCTGGAGGAGGTAAAAGTTGTTGTCTTCTCCATGCCCCTAAGCAAAAGCCCAGGACCGGATGGCTATTCTGTTGAGTTCATCCGTGCTTCTTGGGACATAGTCGGTAAAGATGTCACTGGTGCTGTAATGGAGTTCTTTAGGAATGGTCGGTTGCTGAAAGATCTTAACAACACCGCGATTACTCTCATTCCAAAGTCGCCTGAAGCATGCAAGCTAGGTGACTATCGACCTATTAGCTGTTGTAACATCGTCTACAAAATCATCTCTAAGCTGATAGCGAACAGACTAAAACCAGTGCTCCAGCAGTGTATCAGCCCTAACCAGGCCGCTTTCCTCAAAGGGAGGAGCTTAGGTGAGAATGTGCTTTTATCCTCTGAACTAATTCGGGACTACAATAAAGTGTCCTGTCAGAAGAGCTGCATGCTTAAAGTCGACATCAGAAAGGCCTTCGATACGGTGTGTTGGGATTTCGTACTTAAAATCCTCCAGGCTCAGGATTTTCCCCCCATTTTCACGACATGGATCAGAGAATACATCACCTCGCCGCGCTTCTCTATATGTGTGAATGGTGATCTCGCTGGTTTTTCGCTGGAAAGTTTAAGGCAAGGTGACTCCATTTCTCCTTATCTTTTCATTATGGTAATGGAAGCCCTATCCAGACTCTTTGAGAATTCTGTGGATAATGATAAGATTAGGTTGCACCCTAAATGTAAGAATCCTAGGATTACTCATTTGCTTTTCGCCGACGACCTTCTTGTTTTCTCTGATGGGTCGATTCAGTCGCTGCTTGGGATCAAAGAGGTTATGGCTGAGTTTAAATCATTATGCGGGCTGGACATGAATGTCTCAAAAACGGAAATCTTCTTTGGTGGATTCGATGATACGACTATGGATATGCTTAGTAACCTTTCTGGTTTCAAGCTTGGATCTTTTCCCACTCGGTACTTGGGGCTTCCGCTGAACCCCTCTAGGATCTCCCTGGCTACCCTGCAGGCGTTTTTGGAACGCATTACCCGGAAACTGCACTCTTGGACAGTTAAACTTCTCTCCTTTGCTGGTAAAATCCGCCTAATCTCTTCAGTTATATACGGAATGATAAACTTTTGGAGTTCTGTCTTCGTCTTGCCTAAGAGTTTCTACATGCTCGGCTTTTTTATGGAAAAATAAAACATCCTCTGCTGTGGGCGCTAGAGTCGCTTGGTCAGATGTTTGTAAACCAAAGGAGGAAGGTGGTCTTGGGATTCGTCTTCTAGAGGAGTTTGAGCTTGTTTTCAGGCTTAAGCAGATATGGAACTTCTTTTCTTCTTCCGGATCGCTGTGGGTGGCGTGGTTAAAAAACTACATTTTCCACCGAAAGAGTTTCTGGCAGGTGGAGGACGCTAATAGATTCTCTCCTACTATTCGGAGTATGCTTCAACACAAGACTATGCTAGTTGATTTTCTAAAGTGTGTGGTTCGTGATGGAAAAACTGCATCGTTCTGGTTTGACTATTGGACGGATTTGGGACCGCTTCACACTATATTCGGAGCCACTGGTACTCGTCAGCTCCGCCTTCGCATCTCTGCCTCTGTCGCTTGTGCAACCCGCAATGATGGTTGGCATTTGCCAAATGCTAGATCCCAGGATGCCCAGACTCTTCAGATTGTTCTCAGTACCGTCACGCCGCCTAATCCTGATAACGGACCCGATTTTTATCTTTGGCGTGGCGCTTCTGGCTCTTATGTGAACCATTTCTCATCGAGAGCTACCTGGAATCACATAAGGATCACTTCTCCAACGGTTTCTTGGCATAAAACCGTCTGGTTCAAGGAACAAATTCCTCGATGCTCGTTCAACTCCTGGCTGGCAATGCTGCATCGCTTGCCTACCAAGGATCGCTTACTTCGGTGGGGCGTAAATGTGGACGGATCTTGCATCCTCTGTAACTCAGCTTTGGAAAATCATGATCACCTATTTTTCCATTGTCCTTTTTCCTCGGAGATATGGTTGTTCTTCTCGCGCAGATTGTGGAATGGGTCTCCGCAGGGTCTTCACGCTGTTGCGGATTGGGTTGGTCACCGTTCTAGCTCCGGAGCAGCAGGCACTCAGGTCATTGCAAAGCTTGTGTTCCAGGCGGTTCTGTACTCGGTTTGGAGGGAGCGCAACGCCAGGATCTTCTCCGCCACTTCTTCCCCGGTCTTGGTCGTTCGTGCGGCCGTCGACAGGATGATAAGGGACCGGCTCTTTTCTTTTCCAGCCAGGAGCCTCTCTTATCCTTCTTTGCTCGAGCTTTATTTTAGTCTCCTTGTTCCCTAATATTCTTCCTCTGTTTCTCTTCCTCTTTCTTCTTTTGTAATAAGTGGTCTCTCTCCACAACAATGTAAAATCTTAAAAGCTGGTATGAAATCTTAATATTTTCGACAAAAAAAAAAAAAAATGTGCCTTGCATGCCAATCCGATGAGATGCGGTTAAGGTCCACTAATTACCACCGTCCAGATTATAAAAGTAATATGGTTAAGGTTAATGGACATGCAAAGAAAATATGATCGTATGTCTGTTTTTTGTATTTGTCCTCAGTATGATATTCTTTTCATTTTTTGTGTAGTGCTTCCGACATGGCCTCAGCATAAAATCTTGAGACTATATATAAATCATTTTTTGTAAGAATTTAAGTAATTAAACGTAATATAAATAAAAATGAGTTATATGCAAATAAAGATGTATGAACATGAATTAGAGAAAAAATGTGTAACGGAATTTTTCGTGTGGGATTTTTCATGTTCTTTTAACACTTGGATTTTTCATGTTTAGATTTACTTTGAAATTGTGTGTAACGGAATTTATAGTTGTAAAAGAAACAAAACAACAACTATTAATACCATTTCATAAATTTGGTTAAAAGTGAAATATTTGGTAAATACGAAAAACGGCAATTCACACTTTGGCTCAAAGTCTTTGCGTAATTTCTGTAGATCTTTTTCTTTCTTATTTTTTCTCACAGTCAAATTAGAGAGTAAAATTAAAAAGGTGCCGTGTTAGTGTTGGGATAAGTCACCACTCACAAACCTCATCTATCCCTTTTTTGTCCCTCCATTTCACGTTGTTAAAGAAACCCAAAAGCATTTTTTTGTTATTAGTACTCCATCTAAGTACATTAAGCATAATTAAAAACAAATCCTTCATTTTATCTCTTCTTTATATCTTCTCTGATTTGTTGACGAAGTATTTAATGAGTTGAATAAATATGATCCCTCGAGTCAATCCAAAACCCCACCTTAATTAATTTGACCAACCAATGTCAAGAATATGAGAAGAAACAAGTACGAAAATTATCTAAAAGTAAATCCCTCATATTTCATTTTACAAAAATAAAGAATTAATTTATCTGCTTTAAAACTAACCACTTAATATCGATAATTTCCTGATATTAGTTCTGTAAGCTTGGTATAGGAGTGTGAATTTAAACCAAATTACATAGATTCAAAACAAGTGAAATGAACGTAGACAAGGTAAAAAATTAATTGTTTGAAGAAAAAAAAGTCCTAATCTTTTGACAAATACGTACAATATGCATTGTTTTTGCCCTTTTTGTATGTTGCTCTTTAATTTTACGTTTTATAGTTCATATTAGTTATTAATTGTAGTAAGATGCACACCAAAGGGTAGGTAAAGAGGCTTATATATATAAAGTGAGAGTAGATTTGTTAACCTAGATCAACCATTACAAGAGCTCTCTCTCGATCATTCATTATCATCTCCATATCATCATGTCTTCTAACAAAAATTGGCCTAGCATGTTCAAGTCCAAACCCTGCAACAATCCTCATCATGAAATCGATACACCATCTTACATGCATTACTCTAATTGCAACGTATCGTCTCCTTTTTCCTCAGGTAAACTATTCACAAATTCATATTATCTACTTCTTCTTTTTCTCTGTTATGTTTGTACAAAATCACACGTACTTGGTTATAGGAAAAAAAAAACGCTGTTTGATGTTATATATATATATATGTTAAGACATGCATGACGATTTGTAAACCGATTCGTGAATCAGGTCGTGTACCAGATCCTAAACCGAGATGGAACCCTAAACCGGAGCAGATTCGGATACTCGAATCAATCTTCAACTCCGGTAATGTTAATCCAACTAGAGACGAAATACAAAGAATCAGGATCCGACTTCAAGAGTACGGTCAAATCGGAGAGGCAAACGTTTTTTACTGGTTTCAAAACCGAAAATCTCGAGCAAAACATAAGCTTCGTGTTCTTCAAAAAAACCCTAAAGTGTCCAAGAAGGACAAAGTCATTACTCTTAATGAAGCCGATCAATGTTTTGGTTTGGTTAACCATGAAACCGGTTTATTTCCAGGCCAAAACAATGAACTGGTGTTAACTGAACCGGCCGGCTTTCTATTTCCGGTTCAGAATGAGCCAATCGCAGCTCAATCAGGGTTTGGTTTTGGTGATTTTGTTGTGCCGACGGTAACGGAAGAGGGGCTCTCCGCCGTCAATAACGGCGTTAATTTTAAGATCACTGAGTGTTTGGATAAAATTCCGGAGATCACATTTTACGGCGGAGATGGAAACGGCGGTGGAAATTGCTATTCTCCTATTTCGGCTCCTGTTACTGTTCCATTTACCATCAATCAATCTCAAGGTAATATTTCTTTCATTTCCAAAATAATATTATTAAATTATTTTTCTTAGTTGAACAAAAAAAATACTTCAATTTTTATTATTTTTCCAATATTTACGAAATATAACATTCACCTCATATACTCCCCTACAAGTGTGTTTATTATATATATATATATTATATATACATATATATATATCAATATATGTATACTTTCAAAAGTAATATTATAGATTATATAGCATTTAGTTTTAGTTTTTACAACAAATATTAAATTGCATATACTCTTTTGCATGAAAATTTATACATTTTCACCATACGCAAGCACGTGTTTACATTTTACAGCATGCTTTGAATAAATATATATATATATATATATTTGCTTTGCATATATTATCATATAAATATGGTAAGTATACTAACCCTTGTTACAGAATAAATACGGTAAGTATATTATCAATCAACTAGTTTGTTTAATTTTGACCGAGTAACGCATGCATACGTCTTTTATGGAAAAGACGTTTTGGTCTTTAGATTTGACCGTTTACTGTAACTTTTCCGAGATGTTTTTCTTGTGTAAATTAGTTTTTATCTTATGAAATTAATTACATAAACGTGTTCCATTGATTATAATAAAATCATCTGTCATGAGTGATGAGTTGTGACTCTGGTTTTTGCGCATGTACCAGGGGAAGTAATATTACCCAGTGGTGGAGACGTCGGAGATTGTATTTCTCCGAAGAGATTGACGGTGTTCGTCAACGACATGCCTTTTCAAGTGGTTGCCGGATTGTTCAACGTAAGAGAGGCTTTTGGTAACGACGCCGTTTTGATCGACTCCTTTGGACAACAGATTCTTACCGATGAATTTGGTGTTACTTTTCAACCTCTCCAAAACGGCGGCGTTTATTATCTTGTAAGCCTCTTCTTTTTAATTAGAAAAGAAAAATTAATAGTAAGCTTTTTTAGTTTTGTATGAATTGGTCAAAGGGTTTGTGTTTGATTTTGCAGATCTAGAAGATGTTGAAGATCGAGTGCTATGGTCCTATGGACGAATATTAATACAATAAGGGATTTCTGCGAGTTATTTAGTTACCAATTATATAAATTTCTCGTTCCAAATCTTTTTAAATTTACGGGATTAATTACATTTTCGAGAATTTAAAAAATCAAGAAAAAAATTGGAACTTAGTTACAGTTTTATTAAAGTTTGTTCCCAATGTACTGTTCTATGTTCAGTTGTGTTTCTAGTTTTTTTTTTTGGTTCTTGGAAATTCTGATTTAGTATGATATTAATTATTCTTACGTAACGTACATTTTTATTAATGAGAGCAAATGAAGGACTAAGATGCATATATGACCATTAGATCTCTTGAAAAAGAGAGTTGGATTGTGAAAGCATATAATTTGAGGAAAAATGATCTTCTTGAAGAACAGAGATTTCATGGACTATGATGATGGCGATGTTAGATAGGAAGAGGTTGAAGAAGATAATTGTTGAATTTTTGATTGATTTTTATGAATGCCCGAAACGGTGTTTGTGAACCGGTTTACTAGAGCTGAACCAAAATACATAGTAAAATGACAGTAAAGGAAATTGTAACTTAACCAAATTAAAGCAGCTGATCCAATTTGACGATAATTAATCATTGTGATTTGTGAACCAGATAATGATAATCCTGTCACAGAATACCTCATTTGAACTTAGAGCGAACTTCGCTCGACGAGAAATAGGGTGGAAAACTGCAAAGGATTAAAGTGGGAAAACGAGGAATTAAGAAACTACTAACAGATTTTCCATTAGGAAGACATATATAATGAAGTCACAAGACATCGTGACTTTTGTGGATTTTCCTTACGTTGAGTGTAAGAGAAATATGGTTCTTGGGTGGCTCCATAATCTGTTTGTTCTTGAGGGGAATTGGTAGCCTCTAAAGAAATCAACGTAAATTTCGAGTTTGGGTTTCTAATTCGACATTTGGGGTGTACTTTTAAACGAAACTCGTCTAAACGACATCGCTTGGCTTTGTTCTTTTGCAAATCATGCATAACGAAATCGTTTTAAGGATCCGTTCCAATAGATATTCATCATATATATAGCATCCGATAAAGAATCAGAAGCACAAAACCAAAGTTTGAATAAAGATCCTTCTTTATTAATGTTTAGAAAATCTTCTCAAAACTAAACACAAGCTTTCTCTTTGTTCTTATGATCATACATCCTTCTTATGATCTCTATTTATATAGGTATGTATTTCCTATTCTAATTTCCTTTATAGATTAGGATTACAACTTTTCCTTTTCCTTATTAGATTCCTATTTCCTTTAAGGATATTTTCTAGAATCTTCTTGAAGCTTACTCAACATTCACCCCCTTAGGCTTCAAGTTGATCTTCATGAGGTCTTGAACTCCGATCATGTCTCTCATCCTTTTAAACCTGATTCTCGCCAAGGCTTTGGTAAGAATATCTGCACGCTGTTCTTCTCCAGGTACATGTTCCACTTCGATCAAACCGTTCTCTACACATTCACGAATGAAATGAAAACGTTTGTGAATATGTTTACTTCTTTTGTGAAAAACCGGGTTCTTGGTGAGTTCGATAGCCGATTTGTTGTCAATGCGGATCATCGTCTTCTCATACTTTTTCCCTGTGATTTCACTTAGTAAGTCTTGTATCCATATAGCTTGTTTAGCTGCTTCCGTAGCTGTCATGAACTCTGCTGCACATGAGGACAAGGCTACTGTTTCTTGTTTTTGCGAGCACCAAGTTATGGGGGCTTCTCCGAGATAAAACACATGTCCCGTAGTGCTTCTCCCGTCGTCAGGATCCGTGTTGTGGCTGCTATCACTATAGCCTACAATGACTGGTGCTCCTTTCTTGTATGTGATTCCATAGCCTACCGTTCCTTGCAGGTACCTTAGAATCTGTTTCAAAGCATTCCCATGCGATTCTCTTGGATCATGCATGTACTTACTCAGAATTCCTACTGAGAAAGCAAGGTCAGGTCGTGAATGTAAGAGATATCTCAAACATCCAATCCTTCTTCGATACATGGTCGCTTCGATCTCTAGTTCATCCAATCCTTTTGACAATTGTAAACCGAACTCCATTGGTATGTGTGTCGGGTTACAAGCATCTAAACCAGCTTCCTTAAGAATTCGACGAGCATAGGCTTCTTGCTTAATCTCAATTCCATTGATTCCTTGACTTACTTCAATACCGAGATAATAAGTAAGTTTCCCAAGGTCGGTCATCTCGAACTTTGAAGACATTCCAGCTTTAAACTCATTGATGAGCTTCAATGTACTTCCTGTAACAAAAAGATCATCGACGTATACGGCCACAATCAAAATTTTAACTCCTTCTTCCTTGCGGTATACAGAACTTTCCTTTTGACACTTTTTAAACTTCAACGTCTTTAGAATTTGGTCAAGTTTTGTATTCCAGGCGCGAGGAGCTTGACGTAGACCATAAAGAGCCTTCTTAAGTTTGAAAACCTTATGTTCTTCTCCCTTCTTTTCAAATCCATCAGGTTGTGAAACGTAAACGTCCTCTGTTAGTTCACCATGTAGAAAAGCGGTTTTTACGTCGAGATGATGAATTTCCCATCCGTGTGAAGCTGCTAAACCAATCAACATTCTGATTGATTCTAACCTCGCAACAGGTGCGAATACCTCGTCAAAATCAATCCCTTCTCTTTGTGCATATCCTTTTGCAACAAGTCTAGCCTTGAATTTGTTAATTGTTCCATCAGCATTCCTTTTGATCTTAAAAACCCACTTAAGACCAATTACTTTTACACCATGTGGTTTCTCACTTAGATCCCACGTTTTGTTTTTGTTAATCGAGTCGATCTCCTCTTGACATGCCTTTGTCCATTCGACTGATTCTTTTGCTTCTTGGAAATTTTGTGGTTCATCGTTGAGTGACAAGAGAAGCAATTCACATTCTAGATCAGCAAGAAGTACATAGTCGACAAGATAACCAGGAGGATTGCGTGATCGTGTCGATCTTCTCGGTAAAGCTATCTCTGTTTCATCGTTGTCGAGATTCTGCACTTCTTCTACCTCTGTTTCTTCTTGATCATCTACTGGTTGAGAACTATTATCCGTGTATGGTCCTTGTCCATTATCTATAACTTCTCCCCATGTCATTCGAAACATTCCTGGTTGACCTTCTTCTTTGTCTACTCCCTTCCAATTCCAAGATTCCTTTTCATTGAAAACCACATCGCGACTTACAACTATTCTTCTCGTTGTTGGGTTGTAAAGTCGATATGCCTTGGTTCCTGATTCTATTCCGAGGTGGACAAGCGTTTGTGATCGATCATCAAGCTTCTTCAGGTGCTCTGCTTCTACCTTTGCATGAGCAATGCATCCAAAAATCCTAAGATGTTCGATACTTGGTTTTCTTTCTCTTAGACATTCATACGGTGTTTGATTCTTTAGAGCACGAGTGGGAACTCTGTTGATCAAATATGTTGAATGTCTTACAGCTTCCCCCCATATGTAATTCGGAACATTCATGGCCTTAAGGATGCTCCGCGTCATCTCCATTAATGTACGATTTCTTCTCTCAACTACTCTGTTTTGTTGAGGATAATAGGGTGCTGTGAGATGTCTTCTGATTCCGTTTGTGTTACAGAATTCTTGAAAATCACTTGATGTAAACTCTCCACCTCTGTCTGTGCGTAAAGTAACAATTTTCTTGTCACACTCCTTCTCGACAAGAGCTTTAAACGCTTGAAACTTCTCAAAGGCTTGACTCTTCTCCTTGAGCAAAATTGTCCACATATATCTAGTGTAATCATCCACTATTTCAAAGATATATTGGTTTCTAGCAAGTGTGGCTGGTGATATAGGTCCACAAAGATCTGCATGTAACAACTCCAATGCTCGTTTAGACCTATATTGTGTCGAATTTGGAAACACATGTCTCGTCTGCTTTCCTACCAAACATGATTCACACAACACTTTCTTACACGAGATTTTAGGCATCCCTCGTACCATATCCTGTGTCACCATTGAATTCAACGTTTTGAAACTGATATGACCGAGTCTCGCATGCCATCTCCATGGTTCTTCTTCTATTCTTGTGTGTAAACATGTTGGTTTGCCAATTTTTAGACCGATCTTGTATAGTCTATTTGGAGAGCGAGTTACTTTGACCAACAAACATCCATTGGGATCGAGCAAAGTGAGGTAATCATCCTTCCTTCTCACATCACAGCCGTATTCTGTAGCTTGACCTAAGCTTAGAATATTGCTCTTCAACATTGGAATATAGTAGATATCTGTTAGTAGTCTCTGTTCTCCGTTTCTTCCTTCGAAAAGAATAGATCCTTTTCCACCAATACTGACACAAGATCCGTCACCAAACTTCACCATTCCTTTGATGCTTTCGTTTAATTCAGAAAAATATCCCCTTTTTCCTGTCATATGATTGCTAGCACCATTATCCAAATACCAGATTCCATCTTCTCTTTTGTTTGACTCGTACTTCTCTGGAATCACCTTCTCCTCATTTAAGTACACGATTTCGTGCATATACAAGGCTGTATCTGCTTCTTCTGTCTCGTTTTTGTTGAGTTCTTGATCCTTTGCAATCTTCACCGGACAATCTGATGCAAAGTGACCAGGTTTTTCGCAACGGAAGCAAACAATGTGAGATCTATCCTTTGGTTCTTTGTCTTGAGTGTTCCCTCTTCCACGTCCTCTGCCTCTGTTCCCTCTTCCACGTCCTCTGCCTCTACCACGTCCTCTTCCTTTACCATTGTCTCCTTCCGTTTTTGAGAACAGGAGGTTTTGTTGAGTTTCTTGTGCAGCAGTTTCTCCGTTTATACGAGATTCAAAAGCTTTAAATCTCCCAACAATGTCCTTGAAACTAGTTTTATTTAGGTCCAAGACTTGTTCAAGAGAAGCAATGAGATGTATAAACTAATTGGAGGGTATACTGTTTAGAAACTTCTTCACCAATTTTGGTGCATCAAGAGTTTGACCAAGAGAGGCTGCAGTCGATGCTATCTCTGATAACTTTCCTGAGTAACTATCGATAGTGTCCGAATCTTTCATCTTCAAACGCTCAAATTCAGACATTAGGGTTTGGAGGCGAGCTTCCTTGACGCGTACAACACCTTGATTCAGCGATTTTATTGCTTCCCAGATGTCTTTTGGTGATTCTTGTTCGCCGATTTGCAGAGTAAGGTTCTCTGGTATGGACTGGTACAGCAAAGCAGTTGCAATATCGTTCTTCTCTTCATCATCCGTTCTTGGATCAATCGCAACCCAGGCTTTGTAAACTTTCAATGTCGCCTTCATCCTCAATGTCCAGACTGTGTAATTTGTTGTGTTCAACATCGGACATTGAACGGCGGATGTTGACGCCATCTTCTTGACCTCCGGTTTTGCATCTGCCATGATTCGTAAGAGTTCCTTTTCTCTTCAGGATTTGCTCTGATACCAAATAAAGAATCAGAAGCACAAAACCAAAGTTTGAATAAAGATCCTTCTTTATTAATGTTTAGAAAATCTTCTCAAAACTAAACACAAGCTTTCTCTTTGCTCTTATGATCATACATCCTTCTTATGATCTCTATTTATATAGGTATGTATTTCCTATTCTAATTTCCTTTATAGATTAGGATTACAACTTTTCCTTTTCCTTATTAGATTCCTATTTCCTTTAAGGATATCTTCTAAAATCTTCTTGAAGCTTACCCAACATCCGAGTCATCACCATCAATGATTTGACAGGATTTGTTTAACGGGTTTAGGTCATAAAGTTGGTTTGGGAAAAAAGAAAAATAGTTCTTATATAGAATTATTTAATATATTGTATTTATTATTTAGTCTTTAAGAATTATTTATTAATACACGCCCAACATTTTATTCGTAGGAAAATATCCTAACAATCTCGTGGAGAGTTTCTTCGAGGTTCATGCTCGTTCTAAGCATTTCAAGTGCCGTTTTGATTCTTGGTTTGTCTTGATATATCAGCTTGTTGTTCTTTATCTGCATGTTAGGAACCACCAAAATGTTACCTTACGTGCACATTGGAGCCAGCAAAATGGCACTGCTTTGAGGGTTTCCTTTAAACCGAGCATGGCACGTCTTTGTTGGCTATCCACTTGAACGTCTATGGCTGTCTTAATTATTTTACAGTAGAGCTTACTTTTGAACCGTATTTATATATGTTAGTTGATGAAGCATGTGCTCTAGTATGTTTTATTCTATCAATGTTGTTCTATTATTATTTTTTTCTTATATTTTGCCTATTATTTGCTTTTATTTTGTTTTGTTGTTTATGTTTTGATTATTTCCTGTTTATTTTTCACCAAATTAATTGCCTTCTTTGTTATTACTTCGTATCTTTAGTACTGACTGGCCATAGAAGTAACAAAATGATTAACTAAAGATAACATAAAATTACTTTTATATGGCTACATAAATAAGAAGAACTCTCAACACATATTTTCTTCAGCTATAATTACTCCAATGAGGTATGGACCGTATGGTCGTCATTTTTCAGCCTCCATCTTCTTGCTCCACCGTACCACCTCTTTTTTACGACATTAAACTGGTTACTCTCACCATCATCAAATGGCAAAATCACTATTGTTTGGCTCATTTTTTTTCCACGTCCAAATCAGCATATTACGTAAAACAATGAGCCAAATAAAATGTGAAATGAGACCTCCTTTTCTTAGGCTAAATTTACGTGATGTAATTTTGGTATCATTATCTTTTTTTTTTTTCTTCATTCCCATTTAATTTGGGGTGGGGGGTTCTAATTGGAAACTAAAACTTTTACAACGAAAACCTGAAAAAAACGATGTAAATTAAATAAAAACCAAAGGACTAGAAACTGATTTTTATTGGTTTAGATGATGAGATAAATCAGGGATTAATCTAGGATACCAGTTATATTTTTTATTTCCTCCCGACAGTCAACGGTTCTTAAATTAATGTTCAGATCAGATCACTTGGATGTTTCGAAATTAGTAAACGGATAATTGAATACCTAAAACAAAACAAGAGAATTCAAAAAAAAAAATTATCAAGATAATTAATATCAACAGTTTCGTTCAATCCATATAAATAAGCAACGATCTTGTTGTTGTTCATCAATCAAAACCAAAATCGAGCATTAAACATATATTTGGCTATACTACTGACTCTCTTTTTTTCTTCTCCATATCTCATTATGTCTATCAAGAATGTGATTTCTCTCCTAGCAGTTGTATGCTTCGCAGTATGTGTGAATGCTCAGTTGCCACAGTTTCCACTTCCGTTTCCTTTCTTATTTCCATTTCAACCAAGTCCTGGTATGCCAGGTTTACCTGATATAACAAAATGTTGGTCATGATGAATATCCCAGGATGCATTGCAGAGATTTCTCAATCTATATTTACCGGACAATTCGGAAACATCGGTCCCGCTTGTTGCAAGGCATTTCTGGAAGCCGAGACCAATTGCTTGTCAAAAGTTCCATTCATTCCATTTTTCCCTCCTATGCTAAAAGAACAATGTTCAAAAACTGTTGGCCCAATTCCTCCTACCCCAAAATAAAATTTCAAAAATATGTATTTTAACAGTTGATTTCTTTTAGTTGGTTTTACTTTATTAAATTGTACCCACAAATTACAATGTTATAATAATACCACTTTTACCATAGTCATTAATATAAGTATTTAGACGATTTTCAGGTTACAGAACAATATATATTCTATAATGCAACCACACTTCTTTAAATTTTGGCTTTGATTGGTAATTTTGTGGAATGACGGGTAAATCTACTTATAAATCGCTTTTCTGCGGACTAGTTTTTCTTTTATATTTTTTTTAAGCGAAAACGCAGTCTGCGTTTTTGTGTGTATTTTTTCATTTCGCGGATTTTTGTTGATTGGCAAAAAATCTCAGGAATCATGTTCAAAAACACAATTCCGCTATTCTGCAGATTACCAATCAGAGCCTTTGTTGCATAGAAGCTTTGTCCATGGTATGAATTCTGTTTCAAAACTCGGAAGCGTGAGATGCTAATTAAGAACTACGATTAAACAAAAAAACATTTTAAAAGCATGGCTGAAGCTTGAGTTTCTATTTTGGAAACCACAGTTTTGCAAAAAAAAAAAAAAAAAAAATAGGAAGCCTTGTGCAGTATGCTTTGTTTCTTTTTTGCTAAACTGAAAATATTCATACTCATAAAATGTTTGGGTATTACAAAAGCTTACCCTAAACATTGGTACATTGGCAAAAAAAAATAAAATACATAAAATAGCATATTTTTATATTATTATTTGTCCACTTTGACAATTCTATATATAATCAGTATTAACACATATTATATAATTTATTAACTAAAAATGATAGTTTGATCTCTAATAAAATTTTCATAATTAAATTCTTATTTTATAGATATAATATATATATATATAGATTCTAATCCGTGTTGGTATGTATATAAGTATATATATATTAACATTATATCACTTTCATATTTAAAAACTACTAATAATTAAACTACATAACAAAACAAAATCTTATTCGATAATATACATATAAATAAATATTGGTTGTGTGATATTTATATATATATATATTGTTATTTAATTGTTGACAATTTTATTTATTTAGATTTTTTGTTTAAAGATTTTTGCAATCAATTTTAATTTAACCAAAAATTAAATTTAAAGATTAATTAAAACACATTACCCTGCACAATGTGCGGGTTAATTCCTAGTTTTAACGTAAAAGGTTAGAGATATTACATTCAGCGAATACAATACAAAAAAAAAAAAAAGCATCAAGTCACCAAAATGCTGTCTCTGTTGTCGTCGTGCGGATCTTCCTATCGATGTCTTTGGGGACATTGTTGTGCTGCTTCCAAATATGGTAGATAGTAGCGTGTACTGCTAGTTTCCATAGTAAGGTTTGTTTAGAGTTTTCAAAACAATTTAAAAGTCAAGACATAGTAATTTTTGAATGACAGAGCTCCAAAATTTTGACCTGACCAAGGAAGAGAATATAATAGACAAACTACCCGATTGCCCTGGTTTTGTCATATCAAAAACTTGACCATGCTTAAGATTCTTCCAAACCAAACTAAAAAGACTTTAATAACAGGTAAGACGAGAGATGATAACTTCAAATGTATTAAGATCGAGAGATCCAGCACGATACTGAGTAAATAGCAAAGGTTTTATCTGTTTATCAATCGAAAAAGAACAACAAAGTAAAAACAACGCATCTTTTAATCGCATAAAACTCGACGAGGAGTCTTCTTCTTCCTTTTCTTTTAGTACTATAGTAGGTAGGTGTGTTTTGAGCGTGACCACTTCTCATTTGCGAGCATCGACTTTCTTCGCGTCTCTCGCTACAACAAACAGAGACATTAAAAGATCAGAGACATGAGGAAAACATTGAAACCAAAGCATCACAAAAGGCGTTTTTATTGGTTTTTACCCGCTTTTTCCTCTTCTCGCTTCTTGGCAGCTTCTTCTCTCTGTTGGCGAATCAGAGCCAGACGATCTGTACACACACAGACAAGGGATAAGATAATCGATTAGCCCATTTGGTAACACATAAAGAAGCAAGTGAGAACAAGAGATTCATCGTTGTTTACCCAAATCCTTTCTTGCTTGTTCGGTTTTGCCTTGCTCCTGCAACCTCATGTATCGCTCATGAGCTCTCTGCTTCTCTAGCTCCTCTCTGCAAAATACAATATACGATGGAACTGTAAGAAACTCCTCAAATCCAAAATGTTGAATGATTAAGCTTAGAATGTTCAGTAATAGCAACAAACCTTTCACGCCTTGAGAGTTCTGTTGTCTTACTAGCCTAATTAACAAATCAAAGTTATTACGACAAACATATTAATACATACTTGCAGGTTTACAGAAAATAACTACATAGAGAGCTTACATCAAGGTCTCTAGCTTTCAAGGTCTTTGGTTTTGCTCTGTTAGGGTTATCAACTTCGATTAAAGCTTCAGTTCCTTTCTTCTTCACCTATTATTATTATACCAAGTAAACATGAATTGTCAAACAATGATAAATAGATGAATGAGGCAACATAACGAACATTAAGGGTTTTCACTCACATCAGATTCATCCTCGGATTCTTCTTCGGATTCCTCTTCAGACTCCTCTTCGACATCTTCTTCGTATTCAGCTTCTTTCTGATAAGGTCATCAAAAGGTCATCAAAAGGTCACCACACACATAAACAAACATATCAAATATGTATAAGAAACTACCAAAATTACCTGCTTGAAAGACCGAGGACGTGCAGCAGAAGTGCCAGCAACTACAGAAACCAAAAAAAAAAACACACCAATGTTAATAAAAATCTAATATCCACCCACATCAATCTTGAAACATACAACCCTAGAAGTCCCGAAAAACTGGACTAGATTACACTACATTGAGCACATCAGAAGAAAATCTTATGATCATAGACCACATGATCATCCAAGCCAGAGGTTTTATACAGCATTCGCTCAAGCAAGCAACAAGCCAAGACCAGTAATACAAATGCAGAGCAACAAATAACAGCTAGACTGATATAGATACTTGCATAAATCGAGTAAAACAATTAAGAATATTACATAAAATCAAGCAAATGAAGAGATAACAACATTTTTTTATCAAATTCTAATAACCAAACCTATCTAGGAAACACGAAGCTCAAATTTGAGTACATAACCTACAGAACAAAAGAAATCTGCATTTAGATAGCGAAATCACAATCAGAAATTGAGAATTCCTCAACTAATCCGATTTAACAAGCTCGCGATTCCAAGAGGTGCTAAATCGAGCTAAACAAGGAAATATGAAAATTCCACAAATTCAAGCAAACGCCAATTCAAGGATAAAAATGGGCAAATATCTAACAAATCGAAATTCATACTGAACACAACAATCAAAACCCTAAACTCAAAAGTACTCAATGATTATCTGATTATTATACATCTATAGAAGAACAACAAAAAAAGCAGCAAAACAAGTATTGCAGAATTTGAGAAATCCTTACGTATATCAGCTGCGCTAGAGAATCGGCGTTGGCCGGTAGGTTTCCCCTTGAACTTTCCTCTTCCCATCGTTTCAAACAAAAACAACGCAAATTCCGAAAGAGAACAAATCAAAATACGGAAAAGAAGAGAAACCAGAGAATTTGATTCCTGAGCCAAGAATTCGAATCGATTCACAAGCGAATATATGTTTGAAATTAGTGGAGGATCTCGTCCTCTCTCTTACGGTCACGACTAGGAGACGAAAACCCTAAAGCCACCTGTGACTTTTGGGGATTCTGTGTTTCAGTGTGATTCTGATTTGTTCCTCTGTATCGCGGTGTACTAAAGAAACCGTGAAAACCTAATAGATCGAACGGTCTTTAGCTCGTTTTGCTGTTAACTGGACTAAACGACCACGTTTCTGATAAACGTCATGTTGTGTTTATTGTTTTTTGTTTTAAGCATGTGCTTTTTGGGTTGTTTAAGGATTTTCTTAAATCAATACAATGGAATTTTTGAACCAAGAATTCCTTAAAAGGTTCGGTTTAGGAAATTGAACCGACAAATTGTTTACAAAAATTGGGTTTTATATTAAAAAAAAACCCAAATCAGAACAAAGAATTTGTATCTTTTCTGTTGTTTATTTTGTAGGAGATTTGTTCATTAAACAACGTATTTTAAAACAAAGGTAGAACATGAATTGAATGTGAAAAGTCACATTGGAAATGGAAACAATAACAACCATCTTTCAAAAATCATTTCCAAGAAAGACTTCATATTTAAAAATTCAGAAACTTCAAAAACTTTCTATTTTGCATTATAGTTCTAAAGGCATTTCCAAAAGAGGCTTCATGTTTATGTGTTTCTCTCCAGAAGTGACACTTGAAAATAAACTTCAAAAACTTTATACTTTGCATTATAATCCTTACTTTTCAGCATAATTAGTTAAACACATTAAATATTATAAATAACTATAAAACATATATTAAATAAGATGAAATAATATTAATTAATCAAACATCATTGATATTATAAAAAAAATACACAAACATAATTTAGACTCTATTATTGATAATAATATTCGTGAGTTTATTCGATCTGAACAAGTAAAAATCATACAAAAAAAAACTCAAGAACAACTACTTCCAACTCCAAATATATATGGACAGTATTTTGGTGATTTTAGAGGTTCAAGATCAAATTTGCTTGATTATTAGTGTTGTTGTAGTATTTTAATTTGTGTAATATTTATGTGTGCTTGTAGTTTTTTTAAAACTTTATGTTGTATTAATAAATCTGTATAATAATATTATGTTATATTTATGTGTTTTTATAATTTATTTTTTGTAATTTTTTATGTGATGTTTTAATTTGAAGTTATTTTCTTTAATTTTTTATTTGAAAATTACGATTATAAAGATATATATGAAATAATTATCAGAAATATTATAAAATTAAAATGGTAAACAAACATAACTAATAACATTATTTATAAAGATAGTTAAATATAAGGACCAAAATGCAAAATAAAAGATGAGTCTTCAAATTTTAAGATCTGAATAGTAAAACTTCAAATATAGAGTGTTACTGTTCATATTTTCAAAATTTGAAGATTTGAAGTCTCTTTTCGAATGCATAAAACTTCAAACTTGAAGATAAAAAAGTTTTCTTGAAGATGCTGTAAAACAGAAAGTATGAAACCACATTGTAGAGAATATATATATTTTAATCATTATTATTAGTTATCTCCTTACAATGACGCAGATAGACACTATTTGTAAAAACCAAACACAAACTCTTAACAAATTCTTTGAAAAAATATAATAATCATAAATAATAAGAATTAGTAACTGAAACAGAAACTTCTCATCACAAATAAGAAGAAACATAGGTGATAAAGTCATCATGGGCTAGTGACATTATGGTAGATCTGAGTCAAGACATTCGTAAAACCTTCTTCAACGTTGGTGGCACAAAGAGCAGATGTCTCCATGAACAAAAGATTCTCTCTTTCAGCGAACGACTTTGCCTCCTCCGTTGAGACTTGTCGGCGATCGGCAATATCAGTCTTGTTACCAACGAGCATGATTACAACGTTGTTGGGATCAATGTAGCTACGACGAAACTCCTTTAGCCACCATTCTACGTTTTCGAACGTTGTGCGATTCGTAATATCGTACACTATTAGAGCCCCCATGGCTCTACTACAGTAAGTGTCGATGAGACTTCTATATCTATATACAGTATATCAATAAGAGAAAACTTAGCATATCAAATTCTTTTATTTGAGAAGTTAGTTTTATTAAATGAATAAATTAGATTTGACTATTTTTGGCTTCTCAATTGCTAGAAAGAAAAATTTATATGATTACAAAAACAAAAACAAAACTAAGACAGAAATTTGTATTTTATCATATGTTAATTTTCTAGAGAACTTATCTTCATAATTTTGTGTTTGTCATTTAAAAAAATCTCTATAACATTATTTAGAAAGTCGTATTCTTATAAATACGATTTGATTTTTGTTTGGCTTTGGTAATGGAGCATATCTTAAATTTGAACGATAAATCTGTATAAATGAAAATTTAATTAAACCAGTTTATTATTTTTTGTTTGAATTTAATAGGTTTATTATGATATATATAAACCAAATCAGCTTATTATTTCTTATTAGTTTTGTTTTTTAACGATTTTAAATTTTCACTCAAATCTATTAAACCGGAATAACACTCTTAAATAAAATTAAAAAAGTTTTAAGAATCATACTTTTCGTCACCACTGATATCCCAAAGTTGAATTTTGATCATCTTCTCATTGACATGAACGTATCGCCACCCGAATTCACAGCAACTGTCGACTTTGACTCAACATTGAACACATTTTGTAAATACTGAGTCGAAATGTTTGATTTTCCCACACCAGAATCTCCTAACATCACTATTTTGAATAGATAATAGTTGATATCTTGCATGCTTTACAAACCAAGAATCCAAACACGGAGAGAAAGAAAACTGATTTGTTTAATCGAATGGCTTATTTCTTTGAGGGATTTAGAGGTATCTGCGATATCACAACATCCATACAAGTCTATTAAAAATCTCTTTTACATAAAAAAAGGAAAAAAAAAAATTAATTTGTTGCTATCCAATTTTCTAACAAAATTGTCTATTAGATATTAATATTTAAAACTTACCATATACTGTGGATTTTAGTGAAACTTTTTATTTTCTTCCTAATTTACATTCTCCTTCCTAGACAAGTGTATGATTTTCATTCAACTGTATTACGTACATTCACACAATAAGTATATTATACATTATCTAGTCAAATTCTCGTTTGTTATGAAAATAAATCTGTTTTACTAGACTCTTAATCATTAAGAAAATTACAACACAATATGATATGCTAAGAAATATTTTTTTATCTATTCAGATTACTTTATATTTCCTTCGACACGTGTATTCAGTTTTCTTTTATCCAAAGAATTATTTTAGTTAAACTCTTACTTTATAAAATATAATTAACTAGTCCTTATTGAATTATTTGACCTCTAAACTTCTAAAAAATTGTTTGTTAGAATTAATATTATTAAATATTTATGAGGACATTACAAAGAAAAAAATAGTTTGTTAGGTAAAGGCCAGGATTGTACTACCTTAAAATCACTTAGTTTCTTTGAAAATCACTTAATTTTTTTTTTGTCAACAGCCTCAATGCCTAGTACGGTTGGGTTAACCAAACTGATGGTATTGAGTGTACATACATAACATTTTGAGGGTAGATCCGAGCACTCCTTGCTAGGTTATCCGCCTTCGAGTTCTTTGCGCGTGGGATATGGGATATACGAAAGAAGCGGAATCTGTCTTTCATCTTCATTATCTCCTCCAAGTGTAGAGCAAAAGCCGGCCAGTCTTCGGGTGTAGACACCATCTTCACCAACTCTGAATAGTCCATAGCAAAAGCGACTTCCATCTTTTGATTCTCCAACATACAATGCATAGCCCATATAAGGGCTTCCATTTCTGCGTGCAGAGGCGTAAGACTTCGTCTTACATTTTGTGCTCCCATTATATTTCCTGTAACACCTTCCTTAAAATAAAACCATCCTAGACCCGTTACTGGCTCCGTATCTTTCCACGATCCATCAATATAACATCACCAGCCTTCATAGACTATAGGTATTGACAAGCTTGTAGTATGGACAAGATCTATATGTGTTAAATCATGTTCTGAACTTTGAGCCTCTTCCCATAAATTCGCTTCTGTTTCCGCTATTTTTAGTGTAACCCGTGGATCTATATCGGTATTTAAGTACACTTTCTCGGTATTTGTGGTGTTTGTTTCATTGAAGGGTATAAAATATCCATATTTAATTTGATTTTATTTTTTTGCTTCAATGGTTAATTGAGTTCTTGCAGCCCAAAAAGTAGAGAAGGATAAAATTTTAAAAGCATTATTTTTTTTTTGGTATGCAGTTTTAAAAGCATTATTTACATTGAGAAACTCTCATAAGAGTCTCTCAATTATAAGAAAATAATAAAATAATAAATACTAATATTTAACCATAAGAGTCTCTTATAAAAGTTGAGAGAGTTAAGAGACTTTCATTGAATTTTTTAATATTTTTGAAAAACTTATATAATTAAATAATAATATTTATTATTTTATTATTATTTTTATAGTTCAAAAGACTTTTATAAGAGATCCACCAATATAAAATAATTATCTTTTTGTTTTCTTTTAACTCAAGTCTTTTGAGAGTAACTCCAACCAGACTGTATAACTTCAATTATGGAGTTCACACATCTCTAACATCAAATATTTTTTTTGGAGTTTTGTGAATAGTGCAACGCCAAATTTGGTGTAGCACTATTCACAAAACTCTAAAATTAATAATATTTTATTATTACTTTTTAATTATAATATGAATACAATAACTGTATATCTAATATATCATTAATTTTTGGATTTATTATTTGTTGTAATATAAAATTTTAAGTGTAATTAATATGAAATTTTAATTGTAATTAATATAAATACACAAATTATTATATTAATAGACACTATTATTAAGATTAAATAAAATTCAATTAAAACACTGAAAAACTAAAATTAAAACTATTAAAGTATAAAGAAAATTTTAAATAAAATTAAAATTATTAAAGTATAAAGAAAATTTATCAAAACTATTAAAATATAAAGATAACTTGTAAATTTAATAATCTAATAATAAAAAAAAAAAATTTAATGTTGACATTTGGTGTTGTGGTCGGATATAGCAAAAAATATTATTCATATAAACACTAAAATTAACATTATTCACAACACCAAATTTAGTGTTTGGGTAAATAGTGGTTGGAGATGGTCTTAGCTCTCTCTCCAAATTAGTTTGATTCAGCTAAATATAAACTTAATGGTCTCTTAACTAATATGATGATATGTATTTGTTCACTGAGCTTTCAAAACCACACAAATTCGATACCACTTTGAACTATAAGAGCATTTGCAATAGTTGCCTCTATATATTTTACTTTAAAAATAGAGTTCTCTATAAATAGAGAAGGGTTTACTGCAATGGTTGCCTCTATATTTGACTGTAAATCTTATTATTAATTGCTTATAAGTTCTTTTACTTTTAAATATTTTAAAAAACTTCTATTTATTTTAGTTTTAACAATAATTAAACATAATTATATTTTAAAATTTTTTGTTTATTATATTTTTTTGTTTTATTTTAAACTTTTAAATGATTATATAACTAATTATTATTAATATAGTTTAATTAAGTATACTATTAGGTGGTATCTTATTGTTTAAGTGTCAAATAAAAAGATATGAAAGTTTAAGGATTGTTTTGTAAATAAAAATGTTATATTCTATAAATAGAGAAATGAACAGTATATCTCTATATTTATAGAGTAAAATATAAAGTATCAATACGCAGACAGATGATTTTACTCTAAAAATAGAGTTTAGAGTCAAGAGTACCAATGCTCTAATAAGTCTATAACAAAAGGTCCAAAACAATATTAAACCATACCAAACCATTCATATCAGATTATGGTTTACTTTTATTCGAAATCAAAATCTAAAAATTACGACAAATATATGAAGCGAAACCGAACCGAAATTTAAATTGAACACTTGTTTCTTTTTTAATTGTCGTATTACATAAACGGCGTCGTCGTCGTCTTCTGAGAGTGGAAAAATATCAAAAAATTCCAACAACTCTCTCCTTTAACTCTTGTTTTCTCCCAATTGACATAACCTTGTTCCTCGCAGTGTCTAGGGTTTCGTATCTCGCTCTTTCTCAAGGATTCGATCTTGCGCAATTACAGGTTTGTCTATGTCTGAATCTATATCGTTTTTCTTCTTGATTTCGACTTCGATCTTAAACTTCGACTAGTTTTTGTGCGCTTTTTCAAGTTCATCTAAATTAGGGTATATATTCATGAGTCCTGGTTCTGATTTCGATTCTTTAGATCGGGTATCAGTTTTATGAGATTCTTTCATGGAGTAAATTGTCTTACGGGATTGAGATTGGTCTTATCTCTTTTGGTATTATGAAAGTATTGATTTTTTTTTTCTTTTTCGAACTCACTGTTGATTCTTGAAATTGAATTAGCAATTACTGAGATTTGGATCCTTCTGGGTACTTTTCTCCTTCGTATATCAATGGAGTATTGCAAAGTATTGATTTTTATTTTTATTTTTTTGTTTCTTTTCAATTCACTGTTTGTGCCAATTAGCTCAAAACCATGGGAAAGAGAAAGTCAAGGGCAAAGCCTGCTCCAACAAAGCGAATGGACAAGCTTGACACAGTCTTTAGTTGTCCTTTTTGCAATCACGGGTCTAGTGTCGAATGCGAAATGTAAGCTCTTTTAAGCTTAATGAATTACAATATGAGAATGAAATCTTTTGAATTGTTGAATTTTTCCTATGTTTTTCTCAGTAATATGAAGGAGATGATTGGTAAAGCAACTTGTAGAATCTGTGAAGAAAGCTTTAGCACTACTATCACAGGTTGTTTTTCAATCTTTCATAGCTTTTTATTAAAAATCTTTTGCTTTTCATCTGATCATTCTTTTCGGTTCTGTTTCTTGCAGCTTTGAGTGAAGCTATAGACATGTAAGTACAATCTGTTACAGCTTCTCATTGTTCTTATCTATATCACCATGTTTACTAAACCTCTTGGTTGCTCAAAATGAATGTAGCTATAGCGAATGGATCGACGAGTGCGAGAGGGTTAATACTGTGGAAGATGATGTTGAGCAAGAAGAGTTAGAGGAAGAAGAAGAAGAAGAGTTAGAGGAAGAAGAAGAGGAGGAAGATGAAGATGAACGTGTTTCTGTCAAAAGGAAGTATAACTACCGAGACTAGCCTTTTATCGAAAACCATGCAAGTCTTTTTAGAGATTGCCTTATGTTGTAATATCTACCTTGAGAAAGTTACAAGAACAATCTTTAGTGTTTTCTCAGTGTCTGATAGAAAAAACATAACAGTGTGATGAATTGTAAGTGGATTAAGCCTTTGCCAAATCGGTCTAATACATTTATGAAACTCAAAACCAAATGTGCATTTCCTTACTCGTTGTTGTTATCTATCACCTTAGTTTCCTCTTTCTCATTTGCTGAATCAGTAACCTCAGCGCTATAAACATAAAACCTAACCACAACCAAGAACAAGAAGAAGTTAACCAAATTGAGAACCGCAAAGAACAAGTAATAATAATCCAACCTAGACTCGTTAAGATTGTTCAAAATCCATCCCCTTCCTCGTTTCTTCGTTATCTCAGAAACCGTCGACAACAAGAAACTGCTCATGAAATTCCCAACCGCTAAACTCGTTGTCGAGTAAGATGTCCCGAGACTTTTCATGCTCTCAGGAGCTTGGTCGTAGAAAAATTCGAGCTTTGCAACTTCTAAGAACGAATCAGCCATACCCATTAACACGAATTGAGGAAGCAAAACAAAGATGGTTAAGGGTAGTTTTACTCCGGTTTGGTGGATGAGTCCATGATCAGCAGCGATTTTGAGTCTATACCTGTTACAAAAATCCAAAAAAAAAAAAAAAAGCTGTAAGGAAACTAATGCAATATATTACAAGAAAACATGGATTTTACTAAATTAGCCACCCATCATAAATTAGTAATTAGTATTTTGATGTTAAATTACTTAGATTATGTGACTACTGACATGTTTTTCTTTATAATGAGATCATTTCAATTGTCAATTACTCTTTTGAGATGAAACTCATAATATACAATAGTTTTGCTCAATGTAAGTTGTCAATAAATGTAATTTAAGTCCTATTTATAAGTTCAATGTATCAATAGGTTTAAAATATTTTTTTTATAGTTTATTTCTGTTTAAGTATGTAAGATTGTTAATCTTAACAATACCTTTCGGTGACAGAGGCGACGATCATGATGAGTATGTGAAAGATAAGACCAATTCCCATTCGTTGAAGCAAAGTAACGCCTCTTGGATTTCCTGTGAATTTTCGGGTTATCTTGACAAAAACTTGATCGTATAGCACTATGGAGATGAGCATTGAGAGTGTGATAAAGCCGCCAAGACTCGCTGGTGGTATGCTGAAATTTCCTGTGATCTTTCGGTCTAAAGTGGTTCCTTGCTTGACAAACAAAGTGTTGGTTTGAGCAAGCATCATACTTGGGACAAAAGTTATGAACAAGACAGGTAACATTCTCAGCATTTGTTTTGTTTCTTCGACTTCTGTGATTGTACAAAGATTCCATTGATGTGTTGTTCCTGTTTTGAGTGAAGCTCTGTCTAAGAATCTGCAACATATTTAGTTACATATGTTAGGTAAACCGAAATGACTAGTCTTAACTAAATGAATATATGGACATTACCTTAGACTTGGAGTGGGGAGAATCGGAAAAGCGCCTTTCCGTTCATAATCCGGTAAAGGCAGCTCATGAAAGCGAGTGAGATCACGCGCCATCGGGGCTTTGGCTTTACGAATTGAAGCCACAATGACTCGAGCCATCTTGGTGAAAGGGCTTCCCGTTGGGAGTTTATGGCGGTAAAACGGAGTGCCCATCAAGAAAATTGAAATGGAAATAGCAAGGCCTATTGTCGGAAGCCCATAACCTAAAGCCCAGCCCACGTTATCTTGAACGTAGACAAGGACAGTGTTTGCAAAGAGGGTACCAAAGAAGATACTAAACATCCACCAATTAAAGAATGATAGTTTCTGAGTCTTCTCCTTTGGGTCGAACACGTCGAATTGATCGGCTCCTATTGTTGATATGTTCGGTTTTGTACCGCCTGTACCGATCGCTAATGTGTATAACGCTCCAAAGAAAACAGCTAATTGTAACACCGAAGCCTTTTTGCAATTTTCCGCATTAGCCGCTGAACATTCGGGTGGTTTAATTCCCGGTATAGATACTGACAATGTTAGCACCAACATCCCCTGAAATTGGTAACCGGTTAAATTACTCTTCCATTAATTTGATAGAGATTAATATGTCAATTATTTCAAATAAAATTGTTTTGAAAAAAAAATGTTTTGTGTTTGTGTTTACATGTTGATATTATTACATAATTTTTTTTTATTATAAAAAATTGTTTATAAAGTGTAAGTGTTAATGACAACAAGTTGCAAATAAAATATTGACTTTACTTTATGTTTCTCATTATGCGTTGCAAACAGTATTTATGAAATATATATATATATATATTTCTGTGTAGTAGAAACTAGAAAGGTAAAAGAAAACAATCTAATGCTATACCGACTTTACCATATAAAGTAGATAAGTCTTTTCGAATGTTTAATATCTTTCATTTTTTGTTTCCATATCCACAATTTTTCTCGTGTGTGGAAACACTTTCTAAAATTTTCGATCCAGACAAGGAAAAGTAAGAGTAATAATGAAAGTCAATTGTTTGTATACAAATAATTCCAAATCAGTACACTTTTTTTTTTTCTCGTAGAAAAGTATTCCACGCTTCAATCAGAAGGTATAAAGACAGATGCATACTCTCTAGTATATACGAACAAAAAGTTTGGATAGATATATCATTGACACAGCCGTTCTAGTGCATAGGAACGTGGAATTTAGATCGGTCGTTGTCTTATCTCTATTCTGTCTCGTTGACTTGTTTTTCTTAAAAAAATTTCAGAAAGTATCTCTTATCTGAAGCTAAAATTGAATATTCAAGATCGAAATCTCCAGCAGTTAAATCTAATTTCTAAAAAATTGCTCATGAGTCATGATCATGAATCATACTGTTGGCAAGAAAAACATATCCATGAATCGTCACGTTATTAGACTCCCACGCCTAATTAGATTCACGTTTTTGAGCATGCTTACCTAATTTGGTACTATATGCATGTGGTCACGACTATAATATGTTAAAAAGAAGAAAAAAAATATTATTTTCATTTGAGAGTATTGTGGAATAAGAAATAAACTCACCGAAAAATAGATAGCACAAGAGATGACGAAAGTAATGTAGCGGCCGAGATGAGCGTCAGCTACGTAAGCACCCAAGATGGGAGTGAGCCAGCTAGTCCCGACCCAATTAGTCACATTGTTCGACGACTTGACCGTTCCTTGGTGCAATTTTGTAGTCATATAGATCACTAGGTTGCTTGATATCCCGTAATAAGCCATCCGTTCAAATACCTCGTACACTTATCATATTTATAACATTTCATAAGTTAGTATCAACTGAAGGAGAAAATGAGAATATAAACAATTAAATAAACTAAATTATGCGAATGTGGAGAAAATTAATGTTGTAAACTAATATATAGATTATTTCTCCTAATAATTTATATGAGTTACTAGTAAAAAAAACAAGAAAAAAGAACACGAAACAATGGATATGAGTTATTGATTTTACATTGACCATTATATTTGAGTTCATATTGGTTTTAATCTCTACTAATGCTATTAAGCCTCGAGTGTCAAGTCTTTTGCAGACATGTAATATGGAGAATATATTATTTGGTGATAATTTTTGTTCCTTATGACCTTAAATAATAAATTGTTGACCTCAATTTTGTTCCATATATCATCTTAATCGGATAAGATACTTCACAAATTTTTACTTTCTCCCGTCACCATTGAAAAGTTTCCAAGACTCGCGGCAAAATTAAAAGATATACTTATATCATAATCTTAAAAACATTTTGCACAAAAATAAATCTTAAAAATATAAAAAAGAAAAAAATGTTAAGATTATACGCTAATCATAGCGTGATTAATCAATTTAATTATTGAAAAAAAACACAGTAAATAAAAAGTAAAAAAAATATTGAAAGAATAATAAGTACCGACGACGAAGGAACAAGCTTTCCAACGACCTCTAATTGATCTTCGAACAGGATTACCTCGAAGATCAACTGTTCCATCTTTTGTGTAATCATCTCCTACCTCTTCTACCGTCATTTCTCTCTCTCTCTATCTTTGTCTTTCTTTCTCTCTCTATATTTATTTTTTCGTTTGGTAGCTTCTGTTTTTCTTTTCTTAATGTGGATGCTTGTGTGAAGAGAGTGGGCACTTTTGTCTCATATATATACAAAAGAGATGGTGTGTCATATAGATAAAGAGAATCTTTCGATGTAGCACACTAGCACATGAAATAATTACCCAACGAAAGTTATTAAGTTATTTATTTTTTCATCTAAATTCTTATTTTAAAACTCCAAAAAAATTACAAGAAACTAAACGTCCAAAACATATTAACAAATTAAGAAATAAGACCTGAAAGCAAGATCAGGAACCAGGAAAAACATATTTAAAAAAAATATATATAGGAAAGACATTAAAAAGTAGAATCGCTAATCAACTAAAGATATAGCATGTCTAGCAGGGGATCATATGGGTTCATGGCCCAAAATCATAAGAGAAAATAATTTTTTTAAAAAGAAAAAAAGATCCAATTTTGATAGCCCGCCTCTTCCCACGTGACAGCGCGTAATTCGACGAAAAAAGAGTTTTAGTGTTCTGGGCCACAATTTTTATTTCCTCATTCTTTTTAAATCCAAAAAATAATATAATTAAATTGTAAAAAATCACTTTTAAAGGTTCAGTGATATACGTGGTCTGAACTATTGAATTGATTCCTAGCCATAATCTTTTCCAAAGAGTAGAAATCACCGAAGCTAAATCAACAGACATAACTAAGACTCGAAAAGTCTAGCAAAAAGACTTTGGAAAAGCTTGAAAACTATACAAACGATGGAACCTACAGAGATTACTACCCTCTCAGAATTTGAACCTTCGTAAAATGAAAAAGTAAGGCAGATGATGAACTATAATTTACGTACGTTATCTAAATAGTATTTTTGGGTCCGCCACTGACAGAAAAAGAATCTTAAATTACATGTAGAACTTACAATTAAAGCTGAATATAAATTATAAACTAAGCACTCGATCAACTACTTTAAATCGGAAAAAAAAAACGCAAATCAAAAGAGAAGAGAATCATACACTTTGGATACTACTATACAATATATTGAGCATCATATTCTAGTCCTTTTGTTAATTATACTACATATTAATGACTAAACTAAAAGGTTTAAATAAGTAAAAA